TTGGTGGCAACAGTTGATGGAGTTGGCGGTTGACCTTGCGTTCCTGCCTTCGAATACGGAGCTGTTTGCGCCGGGCGAGGGTGGGTCGAGCTCCTATCTACCCCGGCCTTCCTGGCAGGTCGTGGCAGTGCGGGTGCAGTCGTAGAGTGGGCGCTTTCGTGGCATCCAATCGGTCGGTATGGCGCTGCAGTTGTGGGGTCGTGTGCCCCGCTAGGGGCGCTTTCCAAGCATTTCACTCCGGCGCGGGGAGCGCAATACGTTGCAGGGGCAATGGGACCACCAATGAGGTACCGCCTTAAGGTGTATATTGCACAGGGGAGCGGATTTGCAGTTGCGTGGAGCGAATAGGAAGGGTTTTTGTGCGAAGGTGTGCGCTAGGAAGCATCGCGCAAGTAGTCGGTTTTTTTCCGCTTTGTGTTGCCAGCGTTTGGAATTTCCGTGTTTTCGGAGCGGTTTCGCTGGTTTGATGTCTGGTGGTACCGCCGGTTCCATTGCCGCTGGATCTGGACTTCGTTCGAACAGTACTTTGGCGCTGATTGGGTTCGTTTCTCGCTGTTTCTGCAGTTTATTGCGTCACCCTCGGTCATTGATAACTTATTGGTGTCGCAGCTGCAGCTCGCTCGGTCGCCCCATTCCGCGTGTCTTTGCAGCTTGCCCAGGTTGCCATGTCCCGGGTTGGTGCTAATTGGCCCTGGCAGTCTTTGCGTCGCTTTGCTGCGTTTGTGATTTTTCTGTGTCGCGGTAGGCCTGGAGTTTCTTCTGGCATGTCCCTGCTGGCGGCGTTTTTGTAGTAGTTGGGCGCATTTGCAGCGTCGCTCTGTTGGCCTCTTTGTGTTGGCCTAAAATGCAGGTGATGTGTGGCTTCTTTGAGCTGTTGGCCGTTGTGCCCGTTGGCTCGGAGGTGGCCTTGGCCTTGTTGTTTGTCGTGTTAGGATCTGTCTTTCTTCGTCCGTTCTCTCTGCTGTCCTGGGCGCGTGGAGCGGTCGTTATTGCAGAGCCGGTGTTTCAGTTCAAGTCACCCCTAATTGGCCGTTTGGTCACCCCTGAGCGGGCACATGTGTTGGCATTTCGGCCGTCTGTCGTCCCTTCCTTCAGTGGGCGTCCGTCAGCGTCTGTTGAGTGATCCGTCGCGTCGGTGGTCGGTGGGTCAGTCTGTGCGCGGTCGGGGAGCGCTGGTTTGGCCTAGTTCTTGTGGAGTGTGATTGGCGCTTTGCGTTCGGATTGTGAGCTCCTTTGCGTCTACTGCGTCGAGGTGGTGCGTTCGCCGCCCTTGCTGCTGGGGTGCCATTTGGAGGTCGTTGAGGCGTTTGGCTTCGGGAGCTCTGTTCGTTTTCGGTGTGCACGCCTGTCTGGCAGCTCTCGCGTTCTTTGGCCCTCTTGCGGGTCGACGCGTTGCGTCGGTTTGGTGGTTTCGTTTTTCAGCCCCAAAGGGGGGTACCTTCTCCTTTGGCATTTGTCTCTAAAGCAACAACTACGCGAGCTTGTGTTCAGTAAGCTGGGTTAGTTGGGCGTAAGGCCCAGTGCGTAACTGTTAGACTAACTGTTTCGCAACGGCCCGTGTCCTCAGGGCCGTCATTTATAGTGTGCATTAAGCTGGTTATCTTATCTTTGTTTTTGTTTATCTTGTTTTTGTTGTTCAGCGCGCGCCCGCCCGCCCGCCCGGCGCAGCCTGCGTTAGTTCAGCTGCGGTGTCTCTTTCTCCGTTCGTAAGGCCCGTCTTCTTCGGACCCCTCAGTCCTTTTCTCTCTTCCATTATGTGAAACAGAAAATGACATGTGTCTCTGAAGCAACAACTAATAATCTGAGGCTACGGCCCATGCTACTTGCTGATACCAAAAGTTTTCACACCATTATTTTGCTAGCGTAGTCTATTCTCCAACTCCAACTACTATAACCTGGCCGTGGTGAAGGGCCTTGCATTTTTCCCGCAACCTCCACGTACCAACCACATAACAACAATCTGGACAATTAGCATCAATCTGGACAATTGCCATCAATTGAGGCACAGGACTGCTTCCTAATTTTAGCGCTAACTTTATCTCTTGACTGTCAAGGCACGATCGGTTTGGCAGATGACTTAGTGAAGACAAGCTTTTTTACTAGCTTAGCCATGCTGCTTGCTGGTGTATTGCGGCAAGGCGGCAAGAGGGCTTGGCGAGGAGGTGCTTCGTAAACTGCTGTGGACTGTGGCAGGTGTTGGACCCTGGAGAAAAGCGTGAGCGGTCTAACACGATTCAGATTGATCCCATGATAAAGCTTGCAACCTATGAGACTCTTTCACGAAAGGATTGCCCCGTGCACACCGCAGGGCATTCTGGGGTTAAATTTATCCAGCTGCAGCGGCCATGTCTTCAGAGCAGGTTTACCACCCTGCAGCGGAGATAGTGGCAATTGCACTTCGGAAGATATGCAAAGTTGCAAACTCGCGCAAGTACGCGAAGCTGCACGAGGAATGCAGGCTTTTCCTCGACGAGCTGCACTTGATCATTCCAGCCGCTGGGACGGCAGGAGGCCCGCGCCTTCTTATCTACGGACGCAACGATGTGGGCTCCACCGCGGACCTCGCTGCGCAGACTGGCAACGCCACACGCCGGGACTCCTCAGACGGCCGGCCGCAGGCCCAACAGCCAGCGGATGAGGTCACCGGGGATAAACCCCGGGCACCGGAGTCAGCTGCTGAGGCACACGCCACATTCGGGGTAGCCGACGACGACGCAGCTGCCGCTGCGGCCGAACATGGCTCAGGTGGGGGCGAGGCCGCAAGCGGGAGCAGCAGCCGGGATCATGGCCCAGCCTCCGCACCGCAGATACAAACTCGCGAGTCTGTTCACGTAAGCGAGGCCAGCTCTCGGCCGCCTGGAGCAGCACCGGGTTTGCCGCAGCCGCAGTCCTCCGTGGATCCTGAGCTTCCGGATCTGGTTCCCCGCACGGACTCGGCACTGCCCGACCCTGTCTGTGACCGCATCATTGGCATCTTCCGCCTGGCGGTGGATACCTTGCGGCCCGAGGTGATTGAGGTGGCTCTGGATTGCATTCAGAAGTTGGTGGCGTTCCGCTTCCTTCAGGTGAGAGCTGCTGAAGGCAAGGCTTGGCTTGAAAGGGAGACTAGGCATGAGGGTCGGCGAGTTCAGGAAAAGAAATGTGCGTTCCGGTGTTAACCACAAGAGGTTGAGTAAGGGGGAGGGGGTGGGTGGGATGGGCAGGAACTGACCCGGAGAGTGATGGCGCACCCTTGGTTTTGAGCCAGGGTGAAGCTGGCTGGGGCAGCGGCAGCTTGTGCGGCTACACGAGTCATCACGACGTTAGGCCCTTAGTTTCGGAGCTCAACATTGACTCTTAAGAATACCTTGATTTGGGTCTGACAGTATGGCATTTTCTAACCTCGCCTGTTTTCCCGTCCCTCCCTTCCCGTGGCCTTGTGTTACGCAACGCCATGCCTGAAACCCGACCGCCATTGCGTCTCCCATCTGCAGGGTGCGGTCTATGCGGTCAACACGGAGCGGGCGGCCTCCGGGCGGGATGGGGAGGAGCCAGGTGGGCGCAGTGCGACGCGTAACTAAGAGCAACCTATTTCGGCGGCATTTGGGAATCTTGGTGGGGTCTGGTTCGGATGATCAGGGTATCAGCGCGCGCCTGGCTGTTGCACCATTGGGGTTGGTGGCCGGGGAAGCACCGAGGGTAACCGTCGTTATGCGCGTGTGTCTTCCGTGTCCACCGCGTGTGTCTTCCACCGCGGGTCTCCCCTAGACCGGGGCAGATGCGGGGCCAGTGGGGTGCCGTATCACGTCTGGTGCTTTAGGCAACGGCCTTTAAAATTAGCTCAGTCTACTAAGACCCCTCTCCCATAGGGAGCGTGGTGGGTTAGCCGCACGGTCATACGGTCGCGAAATCGAACCGAACATTCTGGCTATGCATTGAGCGGTTGGGCGGCCAGGGTGGGACGGAAGAGGTGCAGCGGGGGCCCCAGCTGCTGTGTCTGGAAAAGGAAACGAGGGACAGATGGCAATGTACCATGCGCGAAGGGATCGGGCTCGGTTTGTCCGTGCCGTGACAGCAGGCCTGATTGCATCAGCGCTGATGTTCTGAACACGAGCAGCAAGCTCCTCTCTCCCTGCATAATGACCTCCACACATATCATGTGTGCCGATGACCCGAAAATCCTCAACCCAGGAGGCGGTGGGCCGCAGCAGCCGCAGCCAGGGGACGCAGCAGCTCGGAAGCCACAGGTGCGTATCATGTCCTTGATGCCTAGCCAATAGCCCATCAGGGATGCCACTACGAAGAGCCGGGGCTGTGTGGCTCGCAGGGAGGGAAGGGGGGGGGCGGGAGCTCAGCGGAGCTGTGTAGCATGGGGCCGGTCTTGACGCAGCCAGGAGAGGGAGAGAGAGAGTGTGTGTGTGTGTGTCTCCTGGACATGGCACGACGGGATCGCTCCTGATGCCTCTGGGCCAGTCTCTGGGCTTGATAGGAGATACACGCATACAGATGCATGAGGGCACACGACGTGCGTGAACACCGACACACACATGTGTCCTCGTGTGTACGCGCCTCTGTCCCAAGTGTCTCACAGCTCACTCAAGGCCGCGGCCTGGCCTTGTCGAAATGGGATGGGACGGGATGGAGTAAAATGGGTTGGTTTGCGGAGGGGGATACAGCCGGACGGCGGCAGGAATTGGGATTTCTGAACCCCGGCGAGGGCCTGGCTGCTGGCCTTTGCCTTCAGCGCGCGGGGATGTTGTCGCGCATCCCTGGGAAAATTAAAGGGGCCTTCAGGAGCGCCTGTTGAGCGGCAGCTGGGTGAGCCGTAGCAGTGGGGCCTTGAGTGCTGGACGGGGAGGTATATCTCATACTTCAAGCCTCCCCCTGACTAGCCGCGACCCACTTCCCCTCTATCGGGATGTTGCTGCTTCCCCTCTCTCACCTTTGTTGTTCGCCATTCGACACCGCCGCCGCCATCCACACGGCTCAGCAATTCGGTGCTCTTTTGTCTTACTCTTCTCCTCCAGGCCCAGGCCATCGAGCTGATTTGCCGCTGTGATGAGATTCCTGATGACAAGGTGGAGCTCCACATTCTGAAGAACCTGCTCACCGCGACCACCTCCACCACATTCACCGTGCATGGCCAGGTACGCATGTCGTGGAGTGGGGGAAGGGGTGAGGACTGCCATACGGGGCGAGAGAGCAAGAGGGGACACAGGATGGCGACGTGGGGTTAACCAAGGTTAACACCCATACCCTCCCGGCGGTGGCGCTTCCATGCACAATCGCCATGCACAATTGTTGGAAGGAAAGGCCTTTCCCTGTTCGCGCCTGTCGCAACGGTAACGCACCAGGCGCTCTCAACCTCTCCCCTGTCCGGCAGCGTGAATGGCGGAATCAAATCTCCATCGTGCTTCCTTCATTCCCTTCCTTCATACATCCCCCCGGGTGTCTTTCGCCGCGTTCTCCCTCCCAGGCTCTGCTTCTGGCAGTGCGCACCTGCTACAACATCTTTCTGATGAGCCGCTCCGAAGTCAACCAGCAGACTGCCAAGGCCACCCTGACGCAAATGCTGAACGTGGTGTTCCAGAGGATGGAGGCGGACTCGGTGTATGTAAGTAGTGGGCCTAGCGCACAAAGGCGGGAGAGGGGATGCCGGGGTGGGAGGGCGATATGAAAAAAGGGCAGAGTTGGGGACGCATGGGAAAACAACCACCTACACAAGACCTACCACAGTATAGTACCCCACCAAGAAGTCAGCCTTCATTTCTTAGGAGGCCTTGGGGGAATCTTCTCCGTGTCTGATGCTGCGTTGTGTTGTGCCTTTCCGAAACCCCCGGCGAAAGTCCCAGCCAGGTCCCTTATTATTATTTTTGCCGGCACCTCCTCGTCCTCCTCCTGGTGCCCGTCCTGCCCCCGCTCAGGTCGAGGTGAAGCCCATCATGGTGACGGACGTGCTGGGCCTGCCCCGTATCAATCCCCAAGACACGGGCTCGCTTACGGCAGTTGTCCAGGTGGGTCTCCTCAGGCGAGCACCGGAAACATTCTATGGCTCACGAGTTCCAGCGGCAAGAGGAAATACGAAGACCGCAGCGCCGCGTTAGGTCATGTCAGCTGATGATTTATGGACCGGCCTAAGCTTAATCCTGTTTAGATCGTTATTTTGGGCGTAGTACTCATAAACCCTGTAAAACGCTTCCTCGTTCCGGCTTCGTTCCTCCGCAGGCTTTCCTGAACAACGTGGTGATGGTGACTGCGGGCATGCAGGCGGTGAGAGGTGCAAGGGGGAAGGGCGGGGGTCGATGTGGCCAGAAGCGGTGGGGCAGGCGGTTAAGAGGCGATCGGAAGGTTGTGCCGAGCCGGATGATCTCCCACCGCACTGGCCCGGATCAGATTTGGATCTTATGGGCGCTTTAACCTCGTGGTGGCAGCAGCTCCCCTGGATCCCCTGTGCATTCATTAACTTGAAGAACCATGTACCCACACTTGCACCCTGGCGCTCCGAAACCCCCGCAGCAGCAGCCCAACCCTGAGGAGGTCCGTTCCAGCGTGTCTGCTGCCGTCATGGACGCCCGGGCGCCCCCGGCGCTGGGCATGGGGCTAGGCGTGGCTGTGGCGGTGGCGGTGCGGCATGGCTCCGCCTCCGACCTCGCTACCCCGATGCCGCGGCCCAGTCCGTCGGCGGCTTCCGCGGCTTCGGAATTTTTCAAGAAGAGCCACAGCGGGATAGACATGGGGGAAGAAAGCAGCGCTACCCCTGCGGCGGCGGAAGCCATCAGCGGCGGCGGCGGCAGCTCGACTGCCACCCCCTCTACCGCAGCGGCTGGGGTGGCGGCAGCGTCGTCGCGGGCCAGCGCCGGCGGCAGCGACGCTGGCGGCAGCGTCACCTCCCAGTTTATCGCTGACGCTGCGAGCCGTACGGCTGTACTGCAGCGTGACGCTTTCCTAGTGTTCCGCGCGCTCTGCAAGCTGTCCATCCGTACTAACGATAGTGCAACCTCCAACGACCCCACGGCGGTGCGTGGGAAGGTCCTGGCGTTGGAGCTGGTCAAGGTGCTGTTGGAGAACAGTGGGCCTGTTTTTCGCCGCACGGACAAGTTTCTGGCGGCCATTCGTCAGTATTTATGTCTGTCGCTTATCAAGAACAGCGCCTCGCCGCTGCCGGCGGCTCAAAGTCTTTCCGCGTCCATCTTCATGAGTCTGTTGGCGAGGTTCAGGGCATCGCTGAAGGCGGAGGTGGGTCAGAGGCCGGTGGGGGGCCTTTGGGGTTGCGGTGTACACCGGGGGAGGGAGGAACTGTGAGGTTCTGGGTCTTTGGGAAGGCGCAGACTTGGTCATTACGCAGTTTGTTCGTGTTGAGCGATGGGATAATAGTCTTTCTTGTGCGTTTTTCATGCTATCGATGTGACCCGAACAGCCTTCGGCCCCCTCAGGGCCCTTGAGTGGCCCCCTCGGGGCTCGTATGGGCCCATTACACCTTTGGAGATGAACGCAATTCAGGTGTAAGACACACACGCGCGCACACGCGCGCACATTACCCAATCGTAAACGTGAGGGGAAGGGTAGAGGTGGGAAAAGAGCTCCGTCGTTGCGGCGAGACCCCCATCTACCCATCCACCCATTTTTGTATCTTTGGCACCAGCGCGCAAAATTCCACCCACCCACTCCTTTGTCCGACCCTTTGTCCGATCCACGCGGTCGCAGGTCGGCGTCTTCTTTCCCATGATCATGCTCAAGCCGTTCGAGGGAACCACGCCGGTCGCAGCAGCCCCGGGGGGGCCCCTGCCGCAGCCAGCAGCGCCACTCGGCCCCGCGGTCGTGCAACACCGGGTGAGCGTATGTGCGATGTGTGCGGGGTGTGGGGTGTGTGGAGTGTAGGAGAACTACAGCAGGTTGGTGCTCTGGTATGGGGGGAAGTGGTAGTGGAGGGGGTCTGGGAATCAATCCGCTGGAAAGAATGTGGCCTCAAAAGTTATGAGAAGTGCTGTAGTTGTCGTATGCTCTCCAAGAGGAGTTACCTCAGCTGCTCCTGTGAACACGCTTGCGGATTGCACGACCGTCCTTCCCGTGGTCGCGTCTTCCTTCCCTTGATCGCAGCTCTCAGGACACCGTGCACTGCTGGGTCACCTGCCTTCTTGCGCTACCATATCTCGCCTTTGTTGTAGCGGCAGACCTGGAAACGCGGGGCCTTACCCGGGTCGTTAGTTATGCCAAGCCCTCTCACACTGCTTTTCATTTCGGGTACTCACTTGGTGCCCACATACTGCTGCTGCTGCTGCTGCTGGTGTCTTCCCGACAGGCGGTTGTTCTTCGCTGTCTCAAGGAGCTGTGCCACGACGGCCAGCTGCTGTTGGACCTGTTTGTCAACTTTGACTGCGATCTGGATTCCTCCAATCTGTTTGAACGACTGGTCAACAGCTTGGTGCGGCAGGCGCAGCAGCCCGTGCAGGTACGAGGGGGGGGAAGAGGTGTGTGTGTGTGTTTGTTTGGGGGGAGATGTGTCCGACCTAGTAGACCGTGATGGACGGCAGGGCTGGGAAGAGGCTAGCGGAATGGGTCCAGAAGAAGATGACCACCTGACTCTTAAACTTGCTCTTAAGTAGGCTGTGGCATCAACACGCTGAGGAGTGCAAGAAATGACGCAGAGGGCGTTTGGAGTTTGGGGGAAAGGGGGAAAGGGGGAAGGGAGGGGTTTGGATGCCTCACGGCATATGATATACGTCGTATAACTAGGAGTGCCGATAGATTAGCACGAGTTGAGTTCTTCTCGATGCTCTGAAACCTCTTGCCTCCTGCCTGCCTGCTCACCCTCGTCCTGCCACATCTGCCTCCTCAAAACTGCTCATCGCAGGGCTCTTCAGGCAATTTGTCCGGTCTGGGTGGCCTTGGAGACAGCTCCTCCGCCCTGGCGACTGCGGAGCAGGGACTGCGGCAGGAGGCACTGCTGTGTCTGGTGAATGCCATGGAGGCGATATGGACCTGGTACAGGTGAGGCGGCGGCGAGGGGATGGGGCGCTGCGCAGCGCAGGGATGGATGGATGGTTTGAAAGAGACGGGAGGAAAGGCGGGAGGGAATCTTATGCAGAACGCAAGAAATCAGCCAACTGGGGAGGGGGATGGAGGGAGAAGGATTGTATGTATGTATGTAAGAGTGGATTTAACAGTTTGCCAAGGGCGGGCCGGGGGAAGTTGATAGAAGGGGGCAGGGCGCGGGGGCGAGCTGGAAGTGCAGGATTGGTGTGTTGGGGGCAGGTGGGGCATGAGGTGGCGATAGTAATGGCAGAATAATAAATTCCCATAAAAAGCAATTTACACAGAGAAAAAGAATGCTTTATCATGCTCAGACAATGATCTGGTAAGAGGCAGTAGTAATTGGCTCACCATCATCCGGTCCAAATCTTCCGGGGGGTGGGGTTTTCTGAGAGCCGTGGACAGTTGTCCATTTCCCGGGCGCATCCTTCTACCAGTGTACCTTACGATACCATCCTCCGCAAGCACCACCCACCCTCACTCTGCCCACACGGCCCACAGGAAGGCCAGTGGCATCGCAGATCTGGCGGCGAGTGGCACCCCGGTTGCCGGCGGCACGAGGCGCAACATCTCGGGGAACACTGGGTTCGCCGCCGCCGCCGATGACGACGGGGGGATTGACGACGCGGACCTGGCGGCCGCGGCTGCGGCCGCCGCGGCCGCAGCTGGCGGCACCGGCGCTGACGCCAGCATGGCTGGCGGCGGCGGACCTGAGGATCTTGTTGCTAAGCGGGCGTACAAGCTCAAGTTCCAACAGGGCATTGCACTCTTCAACAAAAAGCCCAAGAAGGGTTAGTAGCTACCCTTAACCCTGAAAGAGCGTGGGAGGAGTGGAAAGGGGGATTTCCGCCTTTCAGAGACTGGGTCCAAACAGGGCGAAGGGAAGGTGCCGGCTGGGATTATAGGAATGCATGACATGGGTGGAGCAATAAGGGCTGGGGTTCGGCACACGGAAGCCGGAGTTCGGTATTTCGAACCCATCCCCGGTGTACACGTGTGTTTGCGTGTGGGGGGCCCGGGGGGAAGGAGGGGTTGGTGGTGGTTGGCTCCCAACCCAAACCTGCAGCAAAACACATGTCATGACCGACGTTTTGCCTCACGTCGTCGACACGCGCATCATCTCCCGCTTCTCTGTCGCGCGTAATCTGGGGTTATCCTAACCTTTCCCTCGCCCTTTGATTGTGTGGCTGTGTCTGTGGCCGTCTCCTAAACGGACGAACGAACGCACTTGGGGTGGTGGTGGTGGTCAGGTGTGGAGTTTCTTCACCGCGAAGGCATGTTGGGCGCCTTTCCGGAGGACGTGGCCAGCTTCCTCACTCGCGCCGAAGGACTGGACAAGACCACCATCGGGGACTACCTGGGGGAGAGGGACGAGTACTGCCTCAAGGTGAGACAGCGGAGGCACAGCGGGGCGGGAGAAGGAAATAGACAACGGCTCCAGGGAGGCAGCACGGGTCGGGAGGTGGTTCCACGGAGAGAAACGTTATTATATGGACCAGGGATCGGGACGACGCGAGAGTGTATAGGGCTGGACTGAATGTTTGCCTTTATTGTCTGGAAGGGTGCGGGTAGGGGGCGGTCTGCGAGCGGGAGCACAGGTGGTGGTCTTAGGGTATAAGAAACCAGAGGGTCTGCGGAAGATGTGATGTGATGTGATGTGATGTGATGTGATGTGATGTGATGTGATGTGATGTGATGTGATGTGGGTTGTGGCTGGGAAGCATGTGGGGATCACGCGAAATGAGGGTCGTGTGCGGGAGGTGCTGCGGAGACCTCGTTCTGGGGATGTGGTTGAACGCTTGTGAAATTTGCTGAATGAGTGGAATTGAGGCATTCGGACACACACATACAGCTGCGCGTCCATTGCACCCTTGTCGGGTTCGGGGTTCCCCACACAGCTGATTCAATCATCGTTGTTGACTGTTTCCCCCCCCACCCCACCCCCACCCCTTCTCCCTTTTCCCTGACATTTGGCAACAACGCTAAGGCCCGACGTGTCTTTTCCCCTAACCCACCCTGCCCCTTCCTCGGCTCTACCAGGTGATGCACGCCTATGTTGACGCCATGGACTTCACCAATATGGAGTTCGATGCGGCCATTCGGGCTTTCCTGCAGGGGTTCAGGTGGGGATGTACCTGAGGGCGCGGCCGGGGGCCGCAATAACGGGTAGTGTCCGGGTTCGGCTGCGGCTGCGGCTGCCCTGGGTATCTCGAAGCATATGTCTCTCTTTCCAAGCAGCTTGATGATGCTTGCCAACCAAACGCCCTAGCTGTGTGTCCACCACAGTCCTTTCCTCTCCCTCTCCTCGTTCTCTTCCTCCTTTTCCAACATAGGCTCCCAGGCGAGGCCCAAAAGATCGACCGGCTGATGGAAAAGTTCGCTGAGCGCTTCGTCAAGTGCAACCCGGTGTCGTTCAAGTCTGCGGATGTGGCGTACGTGCTGGCGTACTCGGTCATCATGCTCAACACGGACGCACACAACCCGCAGGTCGGCGTGTGTGTGTGTGTGTGTTGCTGTGTGTTTGTATTAATGCATGTGCGAACCCTCTCCCAGTCTCCCTTACGTGCTTCATAATCAATTGCGCTCTCCCTCCCGCCCGCCCTCCCGCCCTGCCGCCCCGCCTTTGCTGCATTCACTTTTTCTTTGCCAGGTCAAGAACAAGATGAGCAAGGCGGCCTTCCTCAAAAACAACCGGGGCATCAACGACGGAGCGGACCTGCCGGAGGACTTCATGTCGGCCTTGTACGACAGGATTGTCAACCAGGAGATCAAGATGAAGGACGACGGCGGAGCGGCGGGCGCTGGAGCGGCCGCCCCGCAAGGTAAGCGCATTGCTAGCGGCTAACGGCTTATACACACGTGCCAACGCCAAACCTTGTCGACCCCGGTGCCCAGGGGACGCGGCTTGCCCCCATTAAACTTCTCCCCCCGGGATAACCGGCTTGCGGCAGCCAAGTGATCGCAGGCAGCGACATTGCTTTTCGACCCTTCGATGTCGGCCCTTGTTATCATTGGGAAACAGCATTCACCGAACGTTGGATTGTTCACCCGCTAATGGGGAACGCGAGCTGAGCTGTGACGGCTTTGCGACGGCGTTTTTTTAAACCAACCTGCTTCTCTCCTCCTTGTCCCTTGACGTGTCCATAAATACGGCTTAATCGTCCAGTCGGCACTAATCCTTTCCCGAAATTCCATTCCTCTCCATTTGCTACCGATTAACCTCTCGCCTCCTCCCTGGTCTCTCCTCTGCTCTTCCTCCCTCCCCCGATGCACCCCTCTCCAGAGGCTGGTGGCCTGGCCGCCCCTGCCCGGGCGCTGTTTAATACCTTGCTGGGACTTATGGGTGGCCGCGGTCAGGCCGTCAGCTCGGGCCCTAGTGACGCCGCCATTCGAGCCACCCTGGACTACCTGCACCAGCGGGCCGCCTCGGCCACCACCGTCACTGTGACCGAGCCAGATGCGGTGCGGCCGCTGATGGAAGTTATTTGGGCGCCGTTGCTAGGTGCGCTTTCGACGCTGTACGACGAATACGGAGACCCCAAGCTGGTGACGGTGTGTTTGAGTGGCTTTGTGGCGGCGGCGTGCCTGTCGGCGCAGGTAATGGAGGAGGGAGGCGCGGTAGAGGTCTCCGGGCGGGTGGCTGATATGCAACACGTGGAGCACGTGGAGCCTGGGGTTGCGTTTGGTGGGGGAACGAAGTGTGGGTTCAGGGAGCGAGAGACGACCGTGTCAGAGTGGTGCTCCATGCTCACACATACACATACATACATACATACACACATATATACACACGGCTGCCGTTGCGCAATCCATGGGGTCCAGCGGTGGTACAAACCTGTACAGTGGATCATTCCACGGCGGTGGATCCTTTTCATGACCCGTAATCTTTTCCATGTCCCATAATCTGTTACGCAAATGCGTTTTTATCTCCCATGTTCACTTCCATTCTATGCGACCCACTCGGACGTCCAAGCCCTGTCCTAGTGCCACCAGTTCCCCGATGCCTCCCTGATTTTCCGAACATTCCACTCGCTGCGGTAGATGTTCACCTGGGCACCTGTCTTATGCTTCACTCAAATGTATTTCCCCTGTATTTCCCCAAGTTGCTCTTAACACACCCTCATCTCCCCGGCTCCCCGGCTCCCTGCAGACCGGCATGACTCACCTCCGGGACGTGTTCCTCAACGCGCTCTGCAACTTCACCCACCTGCACTCCCCGGCCACCATGCGCTACAAGAACGCACTAGCGTTCAAGTACGTGCTGAGGGTGGCGGAGACGGTGGGAGACCACCTGCAGGAGAGGTGCGTGATAGCGGGGCGCCGGGGTTACAGGCAGGCATCGACGTGGAAAGGGGGGAACTGGAGCCTAGGCCTAACCCCCTAAGGCCAAATGGGTCGGGAACGGGGTTAACCGCGGGATCAAAGCCGCGGGGAACTAGGGCCTAGCAAGGTAGGGCTCATGTGACGAAGTGCCTGTGCGCCGGCATTGTTGTTGCCGTTCTCCTGGCCCCCTGGGCCATGGGCACTCATCTGGTAGCCTGGGTCCAAGGGCCTCCGGGGCCTCTGCAGCCGACGTACCCTTTTCTTGTGCACCTTTTTTCTTCCCCGTCGTAAGCCTCTCCCTCCGGTTTACTGGCACAGGTGGGTGGATGTGCTGCGCTGCATCAGCCGCTGGGAGCTGCTGCAACAGATCGCCAGCGGCATGCCGACCGATGCGGCGCTGTTCCGACCGCCGGAAGACAACCGGGGCTCGATCAAGGTGCGGTCTGTGCAGGGTGCAGGGTGGGCGAAGAGTGTCAACAGGGACAGGAGAGCTAATTGGGGTTGAGGAATGGGGACGCGGCCGGTAGGCTAAGCTTACCCCCCACTTACATAACCTCACGCAACCTAGTGTCCATTTCACCCCACCTGTCCACTGCTGAAGTTCACGGGCCCCAGACACCTACACCCAGCGCCCCTTCCCTGCCGCTGTGTCCCCAGGCCGCTGCCGCCGCGCTGGGTGCCAAGCTGCGCAATGTGGCTTCCGAGCTCCAGCCCCTTCAGCGCTACGATCTGACGGAGTCGTTCTTCCACTCCTCCGCTGCCATCGCCGCTACCGCAGTCGCCGCCGCACAGCAGTCCGCCGCCATCATTACCCGCCAGTCGGTGCTCAGCACGGGCCCCTCCACGGCGCTGACCTCTATCACCTCCTCGGCGCTTGTGGCGCATGAGGAGGCCACCATCAAGAAAGTTCACATCGGCGGCTCTGGTGAGTTTTCCCTCTGCCTACCCCTACCCCTACCCCTACCCCGTCTTGGCGGAAGGAAAAAGGGGTGGGTGGGCAAAGGGGACCGTTCTTTGCCCTTGCGAGGGTAAATCTTCCCTCTTGCTCTTCTCCGCTGCGTTCCATGGCGGCTCTAGACGGTTCATTGTACGAAGGGAGAGGCGTGCCATTATCGTCCCGTCCTCGACATTATCCACATTATCGCTGTCGCTGCATCCTGCTGTCGCGCCGTGAGCACTCACCTGCCCGGTCTCTTGTCCCGAGATTTAACCTCCATACATGCGTCCAATCCATGTCTCCACGCTTCCGTCCTCACTCGCAGCCATGTTCGGTCCAAGCTCCCGTGGCGGTGCGCACCACCATCACCCCCACCACCCCCATCCGGGGGATCCCTCGGCTGTTCCCGCGGAGGTTATCAACAGTGTGGACAGCGGCGACCTGAACCGGGTGTTCCTGACCAGCGGTCAGCTCAACAGCGAGGCCATTGTGGAGGTGAGTGGCTTGTGCGCCGAGCTGACCTTCGTTTTAAAGGAAGGCAAGGACTTACCAACCCGCATTGCCTGGGAACGGGCAATGCGGGGTTGGTAATGTTCCTGCCCTGCGGCGTCAATACCCACAGGGGCAGTTGTTCCGTGCTCCACCCGACTTCAGCGGCCACACCCCGCCCCCTGGTGCCTGTGTTCTTGGGCCTGCATTCCCCCCTTCCCCCCTCGCCGCGAGTCCTTTGCCGCTTCTCTTAATGGGAAAAAAAGTCAAAAAAAAGAATCAGAAGTTTTTTGCCGAATAAGCCGATGCTTTAAAAGCAAACGGGTGGTTTTTACCCTTCCCTCTGACCCCTTGAGACGATCTCCCCCCTTTGGCCGCGCCCCTTCCACGTCCCGTTCCGGGGCCGGAGTTGCGTGACTCCTCTCGGGCTCCCATTAGACTGTTCTCGTCTCCAACCCCTCCCCGTGCGTCCCACAGTTTGTCAAGGCGCTGACGGCTGTGAGTGCGGACGAGCTGCGGGACCCCCGCGCCCCCCGCGTGTTCTCCCTGACCAAGATCGTGGAAGTGGCGCACTTCAACATGACGCGGATCCGCCTGGTGTGGAGCCGCATCTGGGCCGTGCTGTCCGAGTACTTCATTGCGGTGGGCTGCCACGCCAACCTGTCGCTGGCCATGTACGCAGTGGACGCCCTGCGGCAGCTGGCCATGAAGTTCCTGGAGCGGGACGAGCTGGCTAACTACACCTTCCAGAACGACTTTTTGAGGCCCTTTGTGGTGGTGATGAGGCAAAGCCAGGTAGGATCGCTAGGAGGGAACACACCATTCTACACCAAAATGCAGTTGGTGCCTTTCTGTGGCTGTGTGGTGTTTACAGTTTCGTGTCTTGTCGATGGTCAGTAATTGGTGAACGTGGTTTTTCTGTCCCTGCCCTCCCTCGCTCAGTTATGCTGATTAGTCAGCTTATTACCGCCGACAGCGTCAGCAGCCATGCTCGTTCCCTTCGGAAGCGGCCAACTCTCCCTCCTCAATCTCTTCTGTTTTTCTGTTACACTTCCTCCTCCTCCGTCTCCGATGCCCGCTCCTCACCTCGCCCCCAGGCTGTTGAGATCCGCGAGCTGATTATTCGCTGCCTCAGTCAGATGATACTGGCCCGGGTGACCAATGTCAAGTCGGGCTGGAAGAGCATGTTCATGGTGTTCACCACGGCTGCGAACGACAGGGACCCCATGATCGTCAGGTGGGCGTGCACGTGCGTGTGTGTACGTGTGTATGTGTTACATCTTGATCCAGGCCTGTCGCTGGCCAGGGGCACCTAACCGTATCCCCCAACGGGAACAACCGCCGAAGCACTCCGTCAATGGAGGGGCGTTATATCGGTCAGGAACTCAACGCAAGGGCGCTGTCACCTGTTCGAATCCTCTAGCCAGCTACATACACCAGCCATCCCCACCCTACCGCGCGCACGTGTGTCTGTGTGTGTGCGCGTTATGTGCTCTGGCCGGACTGACACGGGCGCAGGCTGTTGAACCTGGAACCGCAGTAAAGGGGAGGGCCGCCTCGGGAAGCGCTCTCGAAAGCTTCCAAAGCCAGGAGAGGGGGCCCCGAGGGGCAGCTGGCCCCCTCTTAGCTAACACAGACGCTGTGCGTATCCGTGCCACTGAGAATCGCAACGGAAGGCCTTAGCTCTTCCGCCTCTGGCTGGGTCGTCCCGTATGTCTGTGTGTGCATGTGCGTCGTGCGTTTAGTTAGTCCAGACATTGCCAGGAGGGTAAAGTAAAGAGAGGCCCTGACGGGGGCCTGACGGGGCCGGAACAAAAGTGCGAGTCACAGGGAATGAAAAGCAAATGGGCCCAACCGCGTTGAGGCCGTGCCGCGGCCGTGCTCACAAAGGCCAGAACCAAATGGGTTGTGGAGGGCCCCTTGTGATCGGGCCCCCCTCCTCCCCTTTTTTCCCCATCTCTCTCTCTCTCCAGTGGCGCCATCCGCCATCGCCACCGACTCACTCACCAACCCACACATTCTCCCCCCGCTCCTTCGCTGCCCCCAGGCTTGCGTTTGACACGATTGAAAAGATCGTTCGTGAGCACTTTACCCACATCACGGAGACGGAGACCACCACTTTCACCGACTGCGTGAATTGCCTGATCGCCTTCACCAACAACCCGCATTCCCTGGATGTGGCGCTGAACTCCATAGCCTTCCTGAGGTGGGCTTCCTGATGTATCACTATTCCCTTATCGCTCCCAAGAACGTGGCCTTGGAGGGGGCCCTGAGGCCACCTCACGTGGCTAGCTATCCTCAGCACTACCTCTGGAGCCGTTTCGAGTGTTTCAGGGGGGCCTTACTGGGCGGGTTTGCTTTGCGGTCAAGGGAGTGGAGTTGGCATGGTTGTAAAACCCTAAAACCCTAAACCGCGTGGTGAAGGCATGGTCACCAGCCGCAGCAGATACCTATGGACCGGGGCTCCTTTTACCCTCTCTTTGTCATTCCTGCCTTTCGTCCCGTCCCGTCGTCAGGTTCTGTGCCATGAAGTTGGCGGAGGGCGCCATCGGGGACGTCAACATGTTGCCCGAGGGGACCCTGCCGCCACAGGCCCTACAGCACCACCCACTCAGAGTGGTGGCCATCGACGCGAACCCCGAACAGTCCACGTCCTTTGCGAGGGACTCAGCCGGGGCCACGGGAGGGGGGACAGCTGCAGGGCCCGGAGCGGGCCACCACAGCGGCGGCACGGGAGGTGCAGCTGCCGGCGGCGGTCCCGGATCAGATTCCTTAAGTCGCGAGAGCTCCGACGGCGCCCTGCTGGTTCCGGAGCCGGCTACTCCTGGGGCGCGGCCGTCTTTGCGGGAGGAGGGCGCCGGCAGCGGAGGGGCAGCTGCGGATGGTGGTGGTTTGTCGCCGGCGGCTGTAATGTCGAATGGTGAGACGGCGGCTGGGCTTCGACTGCGTGGGTCGACCGCGTTTGCGTCGTCGTCGGCGGTGGCGAATGCGGTCCTGGCCGCTGTGGGCACTTCAGTGTCGGGTGGGTGTAGTGGCGGGTGGTGAGTCGGAGAGCGATGGATCTGCAGTGGTGTGGTGGCTTGCGAAGTGGTGGCTGGAACGGCGGTATAAGGAGTGCAGCGATACGGTCACAGCCTGGTGCTATTGCTGCCCGCATGCGCTCCATGTGTGCGAGGGCCAGCAGCGCTGCCACCGCGGTTTGTCTCCTCTGGATCCCTCCTTTCCACCACCACCACCACCACCACCACCTGTGTTCGCGATGTCCTTTCCTCAGCCGCTCTTTCCTCCCTTAACTTCCCGCTCCCGCTCCGTGTCACTGCTGCGCTTGCGACCATCTGTAGGAGCGTGTGGGCCTCCGGATGCCGCACCTCGCAGCGCCGCCTTGCCGGGTGGCATCGGAGCACACCATGCGGTATGTTCGGGATGCATGCATGCATGCGTGTATGTATGTATGCATGTACGGAGATAGGGGGTGAATGATGCACGGATTGTGGAGATGGGCAGGGCGAAGAGGCGCGGGGCAGGGGCAGCGGGTGATCAAGGATATGGCCATATCCGGGTGGGGGACGCAGGTACTGGGGAGAAGGGGGCTTTGTTCTATGTAAGTTTGGGCGGGAGAGGGGGGGGTCAGGGGGAGCGGGGGGGTCTTGCGGAGTTGTGCCCTTGCTCCCGCCCTGGCTCACCGCCCTGTGCGTCGGTTTCCATCACTCTGCACACAGCGTTAGAACGCAGACGGTCGTAACAGATGCCCCGCGCACAGAAGCCCGCACCCTGTTCATCCGACTCCTAATTCGCGATTGGCTCGGTTAGTTAAAGCGGTATTGAGTCGCGAGGCTCGTAGCACGGGCCCTTGTTGTAAGACAGCCGGTTTGGTACAGTCAGCGTCCTCAGGGCGGCTGTCTTAGTCCTCGCTGGTGTCAGCGGCTCTTCAACACCAACACCCATATTGTTCCCTCCCCACGGCGCCGCAGGTTCCGGCATCAGGGGGTGGTGGCGGTGGTGGTGGCGGGGTGTCATCGTTTGGTCGTATGCCCAGTCTTGCGGAGCGATTTCACAGCGTGGGCACTCCAGTGGGCTCCGCGCAGGTGAGAGCTGGTACCGGGGTTGGAGGTTGGAGGGGGAGAATGCGGTGGGAGGCCGGGAGCTGTCGGTTGTGGTGGTAAGTTCGTGCATGTGGTTGGGGGGGCGGGCGGCAGGTGAGAGGAGGGGAGCCTGAAGCCCTCAGTTCGCACCCTAAGACACCCCGCATGCGGATCCACCGCCTTGTTGTTGTTGTTGTTGTTGGCATCCCTTGTCGCGCAAAGGCCCCCGACGCGCAAAGAATCCTCTCCCTCCCCCACTGCTGGCCCCCCCCCCCCTTACCTCGCGCACCCCGCCCCATATCCTCGCCCTCCTCAGCTGAAGCTCCGCTTCATCGACCGGGACGAACACGTGTACTTTTGGTTCCCCCTGCTGGCCGGACTCAGTGAGCTGACATTTGATCCGCGACAGGTGGGTGGATGGGCGGGGGGGCGGGGGGGCGGGGGGGCGGGGGGGGCGGGGGGCGGGGGGCCCGGCAGGGGTTGGACGTGGGGAAGGGAAGTGCGTGGAGCCTCCGTGGGGGTGTTGGGGGTGTCGTTTAGGGGGTGACTTCGGTTGGATTCCAGGGCTGATGGACTGGACGGGACTGATACCTTCACCACGGGGGCTCAACCCGGGGGATATGTGGAGGGTTAGTGTGGTGGGGCTCCTCTGTTTGCGGGCGTAGCTGGAAGAAGTGCCGCAAGGCACACGCTGCTGCACCTTCACCCTCTCGAACCATTGTCCCGCGTTATCTCTTGGACCGTTGCCTCTGAACCTCTGGGACCATTTCCTTCATCCCTCTCTCCGCACGAGTCCGGGTAATGTCTGTGTAGAGGCACCAGGTGCTCATCCACTGCGACTTCCCTTGTCCTCGAGGTCCTTTATCCAGTCCGGAGTCCTCCCCAACTATGGGCGAGAAGGGGGCAGCTTACGATTGGATTTTCCCGGAGTCTTGTCTGAGTGGGGGGTTGGTTACCTGAATCCTGCTCCAACGCAGGCCTTCCTAGACACGTCGCAAGGGCCCCCACCCGCCTGCCGCCACACACACACACACACACACGCACACCTCCCACCCCACCCCGCACAAATCCCCACCTCCGTCCCCTCAGGAGATCCGCCACAGCGCGCTGGAGGTACTGTTCGACATCCTCCGCTTCCACGGGGGCTCCTTTGCTCAGTCGTTCTGGGTGCGAATATTCGACTCGGTGCTGCTGCCAATATTCGACCACGTGCGTGCGGAGGTGAGCAGCAGTAGTAGGGGTGTGCGTGTGGGGGGAGGGGAGGGGAGGGATCTGGGCTTGGGGTTTATACCTTGGTCCTGGAACATGGGATCTGTGTTGGGATGTAGGAGGTGGGGCCCGAGGGTTTGGGCTAGGGCGTCAAAACCCGAACCACCAACCACCAACCACCCGCCAGCAACTCAGTTGGAGGTTGGGGTGACATCTCTTCTCTTCGGGAACCCCCTGCCCGCGCAGGAGCGTTGGCTAGGGTGCAGGGAATCCATGTGTGTCCCCCCCGCCCCCCCCGCCCCCTCGCAGGTGACTGACACCACCACATTCACCAGCGAGAAGCGGAGGCAGCAGGAGGACCACTGGCTGTATGAGACGTGCACTCGCTGCCTGCAGCACTTGGTGGACTTGTTCGTGCAGGTGGGTCGATATGGAGCAGGGTGTGTGTGGGAAGGGGGGTTCGGGTTACGAAGGTTGATTCAGTGGAAGCGAGGCAGTACGGGATCCGTACGGGATCCGTACGGGATCCGTCTGGTGCATGGGTGATTGGGCACGTCACGGTTGCGCTCTTAACACATTGCTTTACTAGCGGCGTGCTTCTCCTGTCCCATTGGTCGCTCTTTAGCCTGATGCGTGATTGGCATGTAACTCTTAATTAGCCGTGCTTGCTACACACACACACACACACACACCTCATGGTCCTTCCTTTCCCTCTCGCTTACCTTTCCTGCCCCCACACCCCCACCCCCACTCGCTTGGGTGTTTCCTGCAGTTTTACGACGAGGCCTTCACGCTGTTGTCCCGTTTGCTGGATCTGCTCCGGGGCTTCATGGTCCGCTCCCATCAGAGCCTGGCGGCCGTGGGGGTGGCGGCGTTCGTGCGGCTAGCGGTCAATGCAGGTCAGTGCGCGTGTGCGGCAGCCCACAGGGGTGGAGTGCCCTGCAAGGGGGATAGCGACAGGGGGCCTCACAGGCCCGCACATGCGCGTACACGAAGAACAAGGTGACGGTATGTAGTAGTAGTAGTAGGTGTTACAGCGCGAGTCCTAGAAAGACCCCAAAAAGGGAATATACCCCAGGGTAGGGCCATCGGGGCACAGCGGACCGCCACGCTCTGCACTACTGGTAATCCTTTATAGTTGCGCACACAATGTGATAAAGCGGCCCAGAAGCCTCCCACTCTGTAACATTACATTACAAGTAATAGCAGTGTCGTTAGTCCTCTCTGCTTGTCCCCAAATCCCTAACCTGCATACGCCCACCGCTATCCTCAACCCCGCCACAGTTCTCACGTAACGCCTAGTCCTGTCCTAAGCTCCCATCCACCTCGCACTCTCCACCGCCGACTCCGGAAATGGGGGGTGCTTTGGATGTCAGCTGTTAGTTCCTGGACTCGTTATTGTCTAATCGCCACCATCATCATCATCATCACCATCAGCATCATCATTATCATTACCATCATCACCATCATCATCACCATCACCATCACCATCAGCATCAGCATCAGCATCACCATCACCATCACCATCAGCATCAGCATCATCTCATGAAAAGGTGGTACCCTCCACCCCCCTTTCCATCTCCCCCCACCCTCCCACCCTCCCACACACCCGCCACCCGCCACCCGCCAGGCCCCATCATGAATGAGACCTGTTGGGACGAGGTCATCGCCGCCCTGCTGGCACTCCTGGAGGAGACCTCACCCGACGTGAGGGACCTCATCACACCGCCACCACGACTGAACCCGGCAGGGACAGGGACAGGGGCAGGGGCAGGGGCAGGAGCACCAACAGCAGCAGCTGCATCCGCTGCCGTTGCCGCGGGCAGCAGCCCCAGCGCCACGGGTAAGAACGCGGTCATCAGCTCCGAAATCACACCTGCCAGCGCCGGCAACAGCCCCAGCAGCCACGTGGTATTGCCCGCGGGCGGCAGCGGTAGCAGCGGTGGTGGGGCCGGTGGTGGGGGTCGTGGGCCTCTGTTTACGTTGCGTGAGGGTGTGGGTGCTCGTCGTCTAGCCAAGTTCAGATGCCAGGCGGCCACACAGCTGCTGCTGGTGCAGGGCTGCAGCGAGGTGTACGCGAAGGCGTCCCAGGTGGGTTTCTGGGGAGGGAAAGGGTGTGGAGGGCAGGGGTGGGGAGGAAGGCAGCTGGGCTGTAGGCCGTGGAGACGTGTGCGAGGGAGGTGCTCCTGACAGCCAATCCTTGGACTCTTGCTTCAGGTGATGGCGGCAGGATCATAAGAGCGTCGAAAGAGGGACACCGGTTTGCGGCCATCTTGCCCCTCCTCCCCTCTGCTGCCCCTCTCCTTTCCCCTCTCCCTTCTCACCTTCTACACTTCGCATGCTGAGCCCCGCCCTTTTGTTTTCCCGTGCATTCCCCCCCCCCTACTTGAAGTCTCTCCCACCGGGTGCCGTACGAGGCCTCCTGGACGCCCTAGATCTCATGCACCGCCATGCGCATGCCACCGACATGGACTTGGACCTGCGGCGCAGACTTGCCGTACAGCAGGTACGTACCCGGCATCCAGGCAGCAGCTGTGTGGCACGTTATGAGAACGGAACTGAGCACCGGGGCGTATGCTGCTGTGAGAGCAATAAAGCCTGGTCTCCATGAACGTCGTTTTTGTGACATGTCACCCGCCCCGTCCTGCATGATGATCCTCTGAGCTGTCGCCTTCATGTAATCCGCACCCCACCCCATGTCCTTTGCTCTTTCTTTCCTCTACAGGCCGAGGACCGAGTAGCGGAGGACAAGGCGGTGGCGGACCCGCCGCTACTTCGCTTGGAGGTGGAGGCAGCCGCTGCCTACCTCTCTGTCAACCTGGCCATCACCGCCAACGCCGGCCAGCCGGGCGCCTCCCCGGATGCGGTCGCACTGGCCCGCCTCACCAACTCACAAGAGCGCCTGGTTCGGTTGTGCCTCACCACCCTGGCGCGATACACGCTTGGGGTAAGACACGAGCTGCACGGCCCGACAGCGGGGGTGCCTGACGGTGCCGCGGCAGCTGTAGCGGCTGCACCGCCGCCACGCGACCGCCTCCGCCTGCTGGGCTTCCTGCCCGGCCTCGGCAGTGTCAGCGGCTCCGGCCAGAACCACCCGCAGCATGTTGCCGTTATGCCGCAGCCTCGGTACATCGTCGTGGGTCGTACGAGCAGTGGCGCGCCGGTGCTGATGGCGCCGCCGGCAGTGGAGTTTGCTTCGTTTTCTCCGCTGGCGCTGTCCAGTTTGGTAGCGCTGGGAGAGTTGGAGGAAGCTACCTTCCGGCGTTATCTGGGAGAGCTCTTTCCGTTGCTCACACAGCTGATAAGGGCAGACTACGCGCCGCCAGACGTGCACCGGGCGCTATCGACGTTGTTTGCGCGGCGGGTGCAGCCCATGGTCCTGGCGGCGACGACAGGGCTGGCAGCGGGGTTAGGGGCGAGTGGAGCGGCTGCAGCGGCGGGTTCGTTCGGCGGTTTGGGCGGCAGGGCGTGAAACGTCCAATATTGGGACACGGGGAAGAGGCGGAGTGGAGGAGGGTGCGAGTAGGATGTAGTGGGTGTAGGTAGCAGGTCAGGGAAAGGCAGTGTGGGTGTGCATGTGGGATTGAGGCGATAGTAGTGAGTGGGTTTATGTCACTCTGGGTGTGGAGCTCTTGACCGATGTGTTCTACGTATGTATGTACGTGCATGTGTGTAGGTGTTGTGCATGTGCTTCTTGTGATGAATGGGAGGGGTAGGTAAGCACTGCACCGGCTGTGTAGATGTGCATTAGTGTGTGATGTGTGCGTGTTCAATGTATCAATGTGTGTCTTCCTCTTCGCGTGGTGGTGCGCTGCACGTCTTTGGACTTGGGGAGAGCTGACGAGACGAAAATGTTCGACGTTTTCTTGTTTGTCTCTCTTATTCTCAGATCTGCACATTATGGACCTTTCTTGGCGATAGCCTAGATGTGCCGGTGGCTGGATTTGGCACATGCAGCAACAGAGGAAAGAAGGGTGAGCAGTGAACGGTACACACTAATGAGGTTAGCATGCTGGCGAGTTAAGTGCGGCGGGTGTTGTGCCCCGTGAACACCCAGGCCCCGTGAGGGCCCTGGGCCTCCTATGCTGGTTCTATCTGTGCACATCACATCCGCCTGATGGGTCAAATGCCGGTGGCCCAGGGATGGGTTCCGTCTGAGTGTTGGTGCCGCAGCCATTCGGCACCACCCACTGCCGCCGGTCTAACAGGCTGTAGCTGAAGCTGTAGTCCCAGCCCCTTGGGTTTTAGCCGGCCGGGATGGTGAGGGCTCCTCTGTGGACTATCGCCTTCTACCTAGCTGTGCGGGAAGGGATTATGTGTGTGTGTTACATGGTTGGGGGTTGCGTGACCCCATACCTGTAAAACTGCCTATACGAGCCGAAGGCCCAAGGGCATTATGTGTGGGAAGGGGATGGTTACTATTCAGCAGTTCACCGTGAATGCAAATCGACTGGGGGTTTCAACCAGTAGCAGGACCAGAATTTCACAGCGGCAGCAGTCTTATGCTAGCAGCCGTGTTCACTGCCTGGTCAGGTCTTGGTTGGAAGGACGAGGCTGGCCGCTGGACTGGGCAGTAAGGGTAATCCAAGCTTGTTTGCGGAGGAAGAGCGCCAAGCAGCTTTTGCGGCTCTTGCTCTCTCTGCCTCCCATCCATGCCAGATGCTCATGGCGGCGAGGCCGCACCCTCGGTCCTGCAGGCCTGCATGAATACATTGGCGGGTACGGAAGGGAACCAAGACTTTCAAAAACCAACGGTCCCCTCCATCACAGGATTCTGCTGCCGGAGAGCCATCCTCTGGTCTGCGGTGATAAAAGCGGCCGAATAACCACTAGGTCACCAGTCTCCATGGCGCTAGTGGCTGCCAAGACCACTACAGCTACCTGCTGTGTTCCTTCTGGGGGTTCGGCCATCCTGAGCCGTTTCGTGAGGGTTGAAGAGCCGGCCTACCCGCACACCGACTTGATTGACTGGCACTGACCTGCTGTTGTGTTGCCGCAAAGTGCTGTCTGCCTCGGGAATATCCTCCCGGGAAGCGACCACTTCCGCATCTGGCAGCTGTCGCCCTGCACATATGCAGATAGCCGAGAGCAAGGATTACCGACAACCAACAACTGAAAGCCTGCAAAATCCCTCTTTATATGGCTTCCCACATTGCCGGCATCCATCTTAGATATCCACAACACACCGGCAGTGTCCCGTGCCCTCTGTTCCGGCAAAACACGTTTTGCAGCTGCATAGCTGTGACCATCTGCACAGTGTAAGCCCTCCGGGGCACCTTGCCCTTGAACCCTATATACCGCTTTTCTATGCTGTTGAGCTGTCGTTCCATTTTTATCCCATGGGCGGTCAAATGTGGACGGCCCCTCCTGCCCGCTTTGCCTCGACGCCCCTGAGTGCCCCCGATATGCCTCTTGGCCTCCCAGGCCTCCGAGACTAATTAAGAAAACTAGCCACAGCTAGGAGGCCTTCCGCCATATCAGTACACAATCTAAACCAAAAGCTCAAAACGCCGGGACCCATATTTCTTCAGGTTTCATTACCGTACGGATGAAGAGGTACCTGCATGCAGGAAAAGGTGTCACTTGCTTCCATGGGGAGGAGGTGAGCCTGGTTACCGAAAATTTAATTTAAGGTTCCAGGCGCACATCAGGTGCACCCAAAACAATACAATGAAGAATTCTTGCGCACTTTTCCCCAGCGATTCAAACAACGACCCTCACGATGGTTTCATGGCGTGCCCGGGCCTGGTGTGTGCCAGCAGAAGCGGCATCTGACTGAGCGGGATCAGTGCTACAAGTGCAAGGGTTATGGCCATGTTGTGAACACCCGCACGGCCCCACAGCGGGATTGAGTGGGAGCCACATGGGGGGGTGCAGAGCGGGGTTCTTTGAGGGCCTGATTCCCGAGATGGTCAGATAGAGCATTGTATGTCACGTGAACCGCTTTGGACCGTTTTGGCACCACCCATTGTGTTGGGTTGTGTGATCAGGGTAGCAGCGCGTGCCTGGCTGTTGCACCATTGAGGTTGGTGGCCGGGGAAGCACCGAGGATAACCGTCGTTATGCGCATGTGTCTTCCACCGCGTGTGTCTTCCACTTAGGGTCTCCCCTAGACCGGGGCAGATGCGGGCCCAGTGCCGTATAACGTCAGGTGCTTTAGGCAGCGGCCTTTAAAATTAGCTCAGTCTACTAAGACCCCTCTCCCATAGGGAGCGTGGTGGGTTAGTCGCACGGTCATACGGTCGCGAAATCGATCCGAACATTCTGGCTATGCATTGAGCGGTTGGGCGGCCAGGGTGGGACGGAAGAGGTGCAGCGGGGGGCCCAGCTGCTGTGCCTGGAAAAGGAAACGAGGGACAGATGGCAATGTACCATGCGCGAAAGGATGGGGCTCGGTTTGTCCGTGCAGTGACAGCAGGTCTGATTGCATCACCGCTGAGGTTCTGAACACGAGCAGCAAGCTCCTCTCTCCCTGCCTAATGACCTCCACACATTCATGTGTGCCGATGACCCGAAAATCCTCAACCCAGGAGGCGGTGGGCCGCACCAGCCGCAGCAGCCGCAGCCAGGGGACGCGGCAGCTCGGAAGCCGCAGGTGCGTATGCGGAATTTTTCAAGAAGAGCCACAGCGGGATAGACATGGGGGAAGAAAGCAGCACTACCCCCGCGGCGGCGGAAGCCATCAGCGGCGGCGGCGGCGGCGGCAGCTCGACTGCCACCCCCTCTACCGCAGCGGCTGGGGTGGCGGCAGCGTCGTCGCGTGCCAGCGCCGGCGGCAGCAACGCTGGCGGCAGCGCCACCTCCCAGTTTATCGCTGACGCTGCGAGCCGTACGGCTGTACTGCAGCATGATGCTTTCTTAGTGTTCCCAATCGCTTCTAGAGTGACCATGCGGACGTGAGTGGGCTCAACGTGTCAAAACCGCGGGAAGTGAAAGGGGAGGCCCACATGGCCGTGTTCATAACGGGGCCCACCTGGGGATGTTGGCTGTTGGCTGTTGGGAGTTGGGAGTTTTGGTGGTTTGGATCACGGAGGGCTGTGGTGTTGAGGGCAGTGGTAAGTGTAAGGGCTTACGGGACCAACCTGGGTCGAGCCTTCCACCCGTACAAAACTACTTAACGGAGCTGGGGTTGTTGATGATGATGTCCATGTGCGGTGATAAGCATGGACATTCGCTACAATACCTCTCTTTCCAGCCTCGTAACATGACCGACCTCATACCATACGCTGACGTCCATGATCTGTGTGTGAAAACCCAAGCACTAAACACGCGCAAGAGCGCGTGTCGTTGAGGGAGTAGTGGAATCCCCTTATGACGGTTGAACGTTCATTGAGTATGTGTAAGACCCAAGGGGACATATAACAGCTGGTGCTTGTGTTGGCGCCGTCACGGTGGACGTGCGAGTGTGCGGGTGAAGGTGTGTTGGAATGGAAAAAGGGAGGGCAGATGGGACAACGTCCATGGGCCCGAGTCTCTGAAAAGTACAGAAAGTGACACCGCACGCTATGTACACACGATGGCCTCGCCGTAAGTGGAACGCGTCGGCTTAGTATCATGTCGCCACCTAAGATGGCTCCCTGATGGCTTTCGCAGGAAACGCCGCACATCACGGGCGCATCATTTCTTCACAGGTCCCCGCCGCTGTTCCAGTTACTCAACCTTCCTTTACCCTGTTTTCTCCGTCTGGAGGTCCGCACTAATGTGTACAGATCAAAGGACGTTAATGCCCCTCGATGCTCGTACTTGCCCCTCGATGCTATGGCTTCGTGCGCTCGGACAAGCAGATAAGCGTTCATAGTCACATGCTAGCCCTGAGACTGAATTCTTGTGTCATCGAACTGGTACAACACGAGTCGATGCGGGTGCTCACACCACTTGCGCCAGGCACAAACGCGTCAGTCAGAGAAATGATGACGAGAGACACGCAGAAGGGCTTTAAGACTAGCAGGGTTCAAGACCCAAAATGTTTTGAGAAGTTTTTAATGGAATCTTTGACATGGTTAAGGGGATTTTTTGTACAGGCAAAGCAATCTTACCATTTATGGTCACTGACTTTGATAATGCAAGCATTCCACATATTTGAAGGTTAATGAAAAAAATTTACAAGATAAAGTAACCTATGATTCTAAAGAAAATAAAAGTTTTTAATTTTCGCATTTTTTTGGTTATCTTCACATCTGAGGAAGGGCAGGCGGTTTGCAACGCACGCTCGTCAGCCTGTCGCCAATCCCAGGCCTCAGGCTCAGTAAGACTGTCTGTCAATATCAGGTTTCTTAGCAGAGTCTATCTGTCAGGCAATACTGACACATTTAGTCTCACCGGAACTTTCGGAGTACGGAATACCCGCGGACCAAACACCTATGGGGCCAATATTTGGATTTTCGCTATATGTAAAGATCTATATTGTATTTTATTTTGAAATGATTTTCTTCGCTGATTCTCTTGTCTGATCTCAGAAACAATTTCAACTTGTGCAACGACAACCACGATTTTCAGCAAGGCCGCATCATAAATGTACCCTGCTTTTCGAATAATTTGAGGCCTTTAGTGTATTGCATCGCGTGAGTTTGGCATGTGACTTAAACGGTCCTAGGATCTGATGGAGGCGGCACACTCGTTAGAGGCGCAAATCTGCAAGCTTGACGGTAGAATAGATGCCATTGTTGAACAGATACCAGCGTGCACGGACAGGGATGCCTTAGCAGACCTACGCGAAGAGAAAAGGCAGCTACACGAAGAGAAAAGGCTGCTCTTGGAGCTGCTACGCGAAAAGGAAAAGCTGCTTTTGGAGGAGAAAAAGTCTCTTAGGATTTTGCACGAGAAGGAGCTCGCCTTGCTGCGCAACGGTGAGTTGTGTAAGCGCAAGTGCTTGGGGCTAGGGCGAGGTTTGCGCAGACCCGGGGTTCAAATTGTTGCATTAAAGTAAACACCGGGGTCTTGGTGAAGCAGCTGACCGCGTACTAAAGTGTATAGATGCGGAAGATGCCGAAGTATGTCGGTGAAACATGATGTGGCAGGAGTGGAGAGAATAAAGTGTATAGATGCGGAAGATGCCGAAGTATGTCGGTGAAACATGATGTGGCAGGAGTGGAGAGAATAGTGCAGCGGTATATTGTGAGTGTAGTTGAAGGGTTACAAGGCGTTCAGCGCACGGGCGAATTTACGTGCATACCTTTCATCGTGGGCGCGTCACCGTGCAAGCTAAGCAACGCGTATGCATGACGTGTAGCATCAGTCCTCAGTTCACTTCTTGTAACGAACATCAGCATAGGTCCAAGCCCTCTCGCTTGGAGGGATATGCAAACAAACATCATGATAGGTAAACTCGCACGCTACCGAGCATTAAACCGAGCACGCTACGAGCAGTCCTTGTAAGGAGCAGCATATCACCCAAAACTCTGGTGTCGGTATCGGCTGTTCCAAAAAGGTGTTCCAAGCCATCATGGCCTCGGTGCGGGGAGCATGGCTGGAGCCGGTGAGTTGGTTGTGCTAGCCCAGGCTTGACCTGACCTAAGACTCCGGCTCTAGTGTCCCGCGGCGGTGTAGTATGGAAGTGTTTGAGCTATCGTGAACAGCGCTGCTGCTGGTGATCATTTCAAGAGGCTGTAGGGTGAGCAACGGCACATTTGTAGTTCTGAGTTCGGAGCGCACCAGCCCCATGTGAAACATTCCGGCATGTTGTGATTGAATCCCCGATTGTGCAACCACCGCCTCTGTCTCTTCAGGATACAGCTTGATGTGCAATAATCCTGATCTGCATACATGTGACATTCTTGTCATGCAGGCGCGGCGGCAGGACCGGGCCCCGGAAGCACGGCAGCTGAAGGTGAGACCCCATCTGCATTGCAGGGCCTCTAGGCCTGGCGCTCGTGGGAAGGGAACCGATCCTCAGGGGGAACGATTGGGGTTTGGCTGAACGCTTATGGCATTAAGACGGGTGAGGCCAATTTGAGGCTCGTCTGCCCCGTGCTACGGAAGCAAGAAAAGAAGCGGGCCTTTGTTGGGGGTGCGGAGGCCGTTGCCGGGGGTGCTGGCCTATATCGGAAGGGCAGCAGCGAGGCCATCGCGTGGTGGGGCAGGTGGGTCGTTGCTGGGGGCTGCGGGGTGAGCTGGTTGCGCCCACTCGTGTTGGGTGCGTGCTGGGAGCTGTAAGAGGCGGCAAGGGGCAGCTGGCGGGTGGCGGGCCTGGCCCCAGCACCCGCCCAACACCCGCCCCAGGGGAGCTCGCATAGAGCGCGCCAGCTGTAGGCAGGTTGGGGTGGGTGGGCGGGGCGCTCGCTCGGGCATGGCACGGTGGGTGCATGGGCTGCGGTGCAGGCCTGGGCCCCGGCGCCTATGCTGTACTGCAAGTCAGCTGGAAGTTGTTCCGTCCGTCCCTTTCTGCTGCTGCTCTGTACCCGTTCGTTCCCGCGTTGGTTGCGTTAATAAGATCCTGCATGCATTTCAACTGGGCGACCGGCCGAACTTACTGACAAGTCCAGCTGCCAAGTTGGCTGGATCACGGGGTGCTAGTGACGGGGGGCAAAGGGCTTGGCGAGAGTCGAAGAGAGAGTGAGTGCACGGCTTACCCTTGCCGAAGAGAGAGTGAGTGCACGGCTTACCCTTGCCGTGACCCCTCCCCCCCACACACAGTGGCGGAGCTTCACAGGAAGGTCAGCAAGATGGAGTCAGTTCTGCCGTTCCTAGTTTCAAAGGTGCTCATGTGGCGTGACGGTTCCACTGCAACGCACAGCAAGTCGGCGAAAGACCGCAAGACATCTGAACTGAAGTCGCAGCTGCAGTGTGCGGGGGTGAAGGGCTGCCAGCTCCTGGGGGAAGGCATCCCCCCCAACTGCGTCAGCCTTGCGCACCTGTGCAAGCTATCTTGGGCGGATGGCACGTGCCACCTGCTGGGCTTGTCCAAGGAGGACGTCTCATCACCGCGCAACGCGTTGCTGCTGTCCAAGGTACAGACACTCACGCTTGCATCGTCCTCATCCTACATGAATGCAAGCGCTGTAGCTCGGGCATGGGCACGTGCGTATGGCATGCAGAGGCGGTTCTCTTGGCCTTGATGCAGTATGCCATCTAGCCTGTGGCGGCTGACGCTGCCTGTGTTCTTGCAGCAGTGTGACCCGCCACATCACGTGTTTCCCTGCAGCCCATCGAGCGCGCCTACGACAACTCGGCTGTTTGCTTCTACGAGGACCCAGCGGACAAGAAGCTCAAGCTACACATCCTGTGGGACGAGCTCAAGTCGCAGAAGCTCGCTGACTGCCAGTGGCTGGGAGGGCCCAAGGGCAAGGGCTATGCTGAGTTGACCAATGCGTTCGGCGACACAACATACGGCGACCTGGAGGCGCGGCCCCTACAATACTACAGCAGCACGGTGGTCCCCTTTCGCCGCGTGCTCAGCGCCCATGCGCAGCTGAGCCTCAACCTGGCACAGCGGGATGGCAAGATGGCTGGGAGCTGGACCTTCCAGGACTATCGCTCCATAGAAAACGTCCTCACCTGGCTTCGAACTGCAGAGCTGCAGGAGCCGCCCATAGCAGGCAGCGTGTCGGAGTTGGCGGAGGTCATGAGCATGAGCAGTGCTCCCGCTGCACTGTAGGCATTGTCGTAGGGGCTTGCCATTCTCTTGCCGCAGTCGCAGCCGAGCTGGGTGGCAAACTCTCGTGCAGCACAGCCTCATGGCGCGGTGCTTGCTGGCCGCCATGCAGGACGTGGCAGGAGGCTGGCTGGCAGCGGCAACGTGCAGCCGCCAGCAGCGACTGCTGCGCACAGGGCTGTACGACTAGGCTGTGGCGGCGGGGCGGTAGCTGCAGCCGCGCACGGAACCGCGTGGCGGCGCTGCTGGTGGTGCTTGGTGTGCGGGCCTGGTGGCAGGGTGTCTAGGCACCGCCGAGGGTGGAATCGTGGTTGCTTACCAAGGCCGTGCGGCGCCTGCACCTATAAGGGCTGCAGGCGACTGGTATGTTTGTTGCTGGCGGGATGGAGCAGGGAGCCGCGATGATGAGGCCGTGGTGTGGTGTCGCGCGAACATCCTTGCGGTGCTGATGACTTCGGTGTGTCGCTGGTTGGCATGTGTTCCAGCGGACTAGATTTTGGCATCAAAGACCTGAATGGACAACATGATTAGGAGGCCCTCCTCCACCCCCCCTGATGCTGCACTAAAGTCGGTAATGTATTAGCGGCCTTGCCGTTGCAGCTTTTGCATTGGGGTGGGGTATCCGTCCGTGTTTCAGCTCTGTAGCCGAATGAAGCATATTCTGGTAAATAACATGAAGTGCTGGTGGTCTGTGGATGGCTGCGCTTGTGCTGGGTTGTGCTCCATGTTAGCTGTACGATTGTTGGGCTGTAGTGCGGTGCTGCTGGCCTGCCAAACATTCAATGTCTGCACTGTGAAATCCGTAATACCCACCTCAACTGGCTTTCAGCATGACGTGCGTTCCCACGGCCTCTGCAACTGGATAGTGGGCCAACCGGGTACCGTACTGCTACACGTGATTCGTGATATCAAAATTCGTGAAATGTTATTTTTGGGCCCTGAGATTTTCACGGCGCGCACCAGAATTCGTGAAAGGACCGTGGTGTTAGGTGGTCGGGATTTTCACCGTGAAATTGCCCCCCTACTTCCCATCCCACCGCGTGTATCTCGGGGTTGGGCTTGCGGCACATCGCATCTATAAACACAGCGTCACCACATGGCTCCCTTTAACAGCTCCTTGTATGCACCACACACTGTCGACATGTCGACACATGTCCGGGTTGGAGCGTGCGCACATGCGCACCAGAATATACGTGAAACGGTGCCTCCAAAAACCGGTCTGGATTTTCACCTGCTCATCAAGAGTGGAGAGAATAGTGCAGCGGTATATTGTGAGTGTAGTTGAAGGGTTACAAGGCGTTCAGCGCACGGGCGAATTTACGTGCATAACTTTCATCGTGGGCGCGTCACGTTGCAAGCTAAGCAACGCGTATACATGACGTGTAGCATCAGTCCTCAGTTCACTTCTTGTAACGAACATCAGCATAGGTCCAAGCCCTCTCGCTTGGAGGGATATGCAAACAAACATCATGACAGGTAAACTCGCACGCTACCGAGCATTAAACCGAGCACGCTACGAGCAGTCCTTGTAAGGAGCAGCATATCACCCAAAACTCTGGTGTCGGTATCGGCTGTTCCAAAAAGCTGTTCCAAGCCATCAGCGGCGTCCATGTCACCCACACGGCTCTGAACGACTTTTCTGATCTTATGTTTAATTAAGTTTGTGTATGTTATATTTTTTTGCGCAAGTTTGTAATTTGACTTTACTCTGAACAAGGTGCTGTATGCGTTGCGCTACCAAAAGCGCGCCCCTTTGCTTGCACAAAAGTGCCGCTTCGCCAAACGCTTCCTCTTCCCGCGGCCGTTTTATGAGCCCAGTCTTGCAAGCTAAGACGTATGCTTTCGGTGCTTTCAGTTACGGCTAAGCAGCTACCCACATTTCCGGCCTGCATGCCGCGTGCGACTGTGGCCAACATGCCCTCCTGCGCAACGCGCTGGCACACCGCGGCCTTTCGCCCAAATAAATTACGTACACTTGTACACGCGCATTTTGAGAATCACACGCGTTCATCCGCGCGGTAATCTTCGCTCCTGGCTTTTGGGGCGTCTTGTACGGACCGTTTATTCGGCACAGTACGACCGGACACAATTGTGCGGGGGGCTGCTTAAACACTGGGGTCCTTGTGAAGCAGCTGTCCGCGTTTCCAAAGCACGTATGGTGATGTGGAAGGTGCCGAAATACGTTTGCGAGGAACAGAACGGGGCGAGACTGGAGAGGAAAGTGCAGTGGCTCACTGTAATGTGAGTTTAGTGTAAGCGAGTTACAGGGTGTTTGGCGCACGGCGGAATGTACATGCAGTCTTGTCGTCGTGCGCGTATACAAGAACAACAGCAACAACAAGAACGCGTTTACAGTACACGTCGCGTCGGTCCTCTGCAATCTTTTAGTAACGAAGGATAAGGCATAGGTACAAGTCTTCGCGCTTGGATGGACATGCCAGAACAGGCAACATGATGGGTGAACTCGCACGTGACCAAGCATGCACCCGAGCACGCGACGAGCCGACCTAGAAAGGAGCAGCGCCCCTCCCCCCCAGCGCTAACGCAATAGACCATCCCAAGCGCTGGTGTCCGTATGGGCACCAGCCGCAGTTCACACACGAGTCACAGTCGGACATGTATGCGACGTGAAGTGCGAGCGTGCCTAAATACAACAGCCACTGCTCAATGTCCAGAAGGCTCGGGCGTTGTCGTGGAGTTGCTGCCTGAAGGTACAATGGGCACCAGCAGAGCATGTCAAGATGGTGGTTGCATGTGACAGCTGGACAGGCGCGTCGGTGCACAGCATGCAAGGCATGCATTCTGTTCGGTAGGGTGCAGCGTGGCATGGAGGCTAGTAGAGCCAGAAGATAAGGCGCCTACCTGAAGCTGAGGGGCCATCTTCGCACCCCGCCAGGCGAGGAGCGATCGCGCCCTCCGCCGGTTGGCGACGCCGCTGCTAATGCCCACCGGTCAGCAATGTTGACGGGCGGCTTGGCGGCGGTGCCGGTGGAGGAGCCGGACGGCAGGCTCGGTGGAGGTGTGCCGTATGCACCCAAGTTGTACCTTCAGGCAGCAACTCCTATTGGGTAGCATGGGATGTCACGATGAGGACGTCCTGCACGTGCACTACACAAACGCGGAGTTTAATGTGCTCCTCCATATTGCTCCGCCGTGCAGGTGCTGGGGAGGCTGCTGGCATGGGCATGTAGCACTTGGAAGCGCATCACGTCCCAAGACTCGGTAATGGCTCCCACCACGGTCGCCAGCAGAATGTCAGGCGCGGGCACATCAGTGGCACCTGCGGCAATGAGAGCATGACGCACGCAGTCCAGACACGTTGCATGGGCATCGAGCGGCACGACAGCACAGCCGCTAATGTCGCTGCGTGCATACAGTGGCACCGGAAGTTGGCCTGCATAGCAGCACGTCAGCAGTGAGCCCCGTTTCCAAGATGATGCGCGTAGACTTGGATGTAGGTCAGCAGTGCCTTCAGAACAGCCCGAACGAGGGTATGCAAGGGGGGGTGGTGCATTATGGTGGAACGAGGAATGCCAAAGCGCCCGGCACATGCTTGCTTGCTGAGTGCGGCTTGGCCCTGGCAGGGTTGAGAATAAGTCAGGCCCCTTGTGGGAAGCGTTCTGCAATGCGTCAGTGATCCTTAACCGCCTGGTACGTGCTGGGGAAATACTGGACCTGCGGCACCCATGCCAAGCGGGTTTCAGGCGGGGTTTTGGCACTGCTCACCACCTCTTTGTCAAGCAACACCTGGTCAGGCGGCATCGGATCGCGGGACAACCGCCGTTGATAATAGTACAGATTGACTTTGAGAAGGCCTTTGATAGGGTGCCTCGCGAGCACATGTGGCTTCGGTTGCAGGAGAGGGGGATTAGCGGCCCCATGCTAGGTGCTCTGAGAAAAGCGTACGAGAAGGTGTCCATGGTGATGAAGGTAAATGAGAAAGTGGGGGGAGAGTTTGAGTCTAAGCAAGGAGTGAAGCAAGGGTCTCCTTTATCTACGGAGTTGTTTGGACTCTTCATCGAGACACTAGCTGATCTGATTGATACTCACGACCTTGTAGAAGCTGGTGCACGTAAGTATGACGCACCCCTTGTGGACAGCAAGCGCGTCTCCATACTGTTGTATGCAGACCAGGGTTCGACACCCCGTACGGGGCCCGTAAGTTTTTGGCCTTTTTTTGGTATCCCTGTCCGGGAACGTAGGACTTTTCGGTGGCTCCCATAAAGATTTTGGGGCGCGAAGCGCCCCGTACGGGGCCGCCCCCGGACCGGCCGAAGGCCGGTTACGGTGGCTCCCGTAAGGATTTTAAGGATTTATAAGAGGCCGTACGGGGCCCTGTTGGGGAGAGGACGGACCATATAAAGGATAAGGCCACACACTTGGCAGACATAATTCATATTGCAATATTTAACTACACTTTTCATAATACTTTTATAGCTTCTGGTCTGTAACATCCAGCGATGGCAGACAATGAGTCGTCAGGAGGTGACCAAGGGCCTCCTCAAAGTTCTTGTCATCTTTCCCTCACGGTACTTGTTCGCTATCGGTCTCTCAGCAGTATTTAGTCTTAGAAGGGATTTACCTCCAAATTAGGGCTGCATTCCCAAACAACCCGACTCGTGGAAAGCACCTGGTGCAGGCACAGGCCATCCCACCAGTCAGGTTACTTGCGCTTACGGGTTTTCAACCCGCCAACTCGCATACATGTTAGACTCCTTGGTCCGTGTTTCAAGACGGGTCGATCAACGCTTTTCTGCCAGAGTCTTTAGGATGCGGATCCCGAAGGACAAAGCAACCTTCACACCTTGGTCATCTCGGCGGCATCGGCCGGGTTACCTGGGTGGACCCAACTGTTTTCCCGCCAAGACAACCCACTCTGACCAGCACCCAGCACATTCAATGGGCCGTTAGGCACACTTAAGCCTGGGGGCACACACAAGCGCTAATCGCTTCCCTCTCAACAATTTCAAGCCCTCCAAGAAGCGCGCCACCTTAAAATTGTCGGACCTATGGGGCTCTGGTAAGCTCGCTCATCTATTGTGGGAACGGAGTTGGTTGTTGCCACTCCTCGCCGATCTCATGTTCGGTCCGGACGCAGGTGGAAAGCCTGCAAGCCAACCTGTTCCCACAAAGAAAGTAGATGATAAGCCTTGCAAAGAAGGTAGGGTAGGGACTCGAAGCTGATTGAAAGGAGCCGCAGGCCTGAAAGTTGACCGAAAGATTTGTGTTATAGGCAACCCCATCGATGCTCCTGAGGAGCTTGACTCTACGGAGCCTTGCACTCAGGAGGCCGAGCAGCAGCAAGCTAGTGGACCTGTCTGCCGAAGACGCGGGCCCATCGGCCACGAAGCAGCCGACGCCCAAGGTCCCTGTAGCCGACGACACCGCCCAACTCTACATGAGTAAGCACGGCTGGTTTACGACAACTGGCAAGCGACAACTGGCAAGCGCAACCACAAGGGCCATATCCTTGGTGGCTGCAACGTCTGCCAGAAGCACAACCCGTCGGGCGCGGCTAAGAAGTACATCGAGAAATGTGCAACCGTCACCGACAGAAACGACCTGCTTTCCCACGAGAAGAGCGTGTGTCACCAGCGGGCGGTGGTGATCGCAAGGGCAGCCACGGGGGCAGGTCCTTTGAACGACTCCGTCCGCAGGGGTGCACAGCGTGCTGCTATTGCCCTCTCCTCTATTACCCAGCTGCTCATCCTTTGCGTGCTGTGGATGATCAACGAGATACCGATGAGTCGTGCGTGGATGAGGATTTTGATGAAGATGAGGATGAGGAGGACCAGAAAGAGGAGCAGAAGGGATGGGCGGCCGCGGCGGCCAAGGCGCTTGGCTTTCGCTGAGTGTGCTGTGTCCCCGTGTGTAATGGTTCACGAGAAAATAACGAAAATAACGTTTTAGAGGGCAAAAAAATGCAAAGCGTCACTTTCCACAGCGTTTCAGCCAAGGACAATGCCCCCATAAAGGTTTTGCGGGGGTTACGGGGGCCCCTGTAAGGTTTTCGGCCGGTACAGGAGCCTGGTACGGGGGCCCCTCCCTAAGGAAAATTTGGGAGGTACGGGGGAGCCCGCAAGTTTCAGGAAGGTCAGTGTCGAACCCTGATGCAGACGATGTTAGTCTGCTAGCGACGTCACTAGAGCGAATGTCTGAGTTGCTGCATCTTGTGGACTTGTTTTGTGAAGCTTTTGGGATGCGACCAAATGTCTCAAAGTCTGAAAGGCTTGTTTTTGCATGTGATGGCACCCAGCAGTCGGAATTTAGCGAGAGATGTCAACAGTTACGGCTATCAGGCCAGGTAGTACCTGCCAAAGATAGCGCTCGCTATCTGGGCTTGGTATATGGGCCAGAACGGCCTTTTAGTGCATGCCGTCAGCAGTTGTGTGATACAGGTCGGTCCGCTATGTTTTCCTTAAGCGCAAAGCTGGACAAAATGAAGCTGTTTGCCCCCGATGTGCGAATGCGGTGTTTTGCAACCCAAGTCCGAGCAATTCTGTTGTATGGCTGCCAGGCGTGGGGCCCTTTTGCGCTGGCAGAGGTCGTGGACAGGGTGGGAAGGCGGCGGGATAAAGCCAACCTTGCGGAGGGCATGTTCGAAGCCTGTTTGAAGGATAGTGCAGTCCAGCTGCAGATTTTAATCATGAGGCAGGTAGTGGGGACGGCACGGCCATCCCACAGGCTGTTGTACGCGGAGCTGGCTGAACTCCCCTTACAATATTACATGGTGAAGCAGATCCTCCGTTTCTGGAACCGCCTTCAAAAGCAAGTTGGATCCATTGCTCATGCCGTTTTACGGCAGGAGATAACCGATGCCCTGACCAACCCGGAATGGGAGGGTTGGGGAATCTCAATGTTACGACTGTTTTCCTTCTTGGAGTGCAACATTTGGAGCGGAATACCGCAAGAAGTCGTGGGGGTAAAGGAGCGTGTTGATTGGTTGCTGAGTAGACCTCTACCCGAAGGAGCAATGATAACGGCACTAAGAGAGCGTTTGATGAGCGGCTGGGACCATACGCGTCTGACTGTCTTGCCAGAGGAGTACCCATCAGATGGGAAGCAACCGGGAGTGCAAATGGCAAAGTATAAGCACTGGATGGGGCTGCCCTTTTCGGGAGCCGCAGCCGTCATGTGGCCAACACATGCTAAGGTTTTCATTCCTCGTTTAGCACATCGTAAGCTAATGCAGTTTCGTTTATGTTGCTGGGCTTTGGAGGCAAACAGAGCACGAAGGGGCAAGTACCATGTCCCCAGGGGGCAGCGGTTTTGCCACTGTTGTGGTACTAATTGCCGAATTGAGGATGAAAAACACGTGTTATTGGAATGCCCAGCCTATAATGATATTCGTGCTGAAGAGGGATTCGATCATCAACAGAGCATGTTGGAGGCCATGCAATGGGAACCCGCACATCTGGCGAGGATGTTGGAACGTATGTGGGCTCACCGAAACTCAATTACCCCCTTTGGACGCTAGTCTGGGCCGATGTGCGGTGTTTTTCCTTTTCTCCGTGGCTTTTAGGCGTTGTAGTATTGCCCTTGGGCCTTCGGCTCGTATGGGTAGTCTTACAGGTATGGGGTCACGCACCCCCCAACCATGTAACACACACGCACACACAGAACAGCCTGAACCGTATTGCCACAACTGCAGCAAAGCCCTCGACACTCCGCGAATCACATGCCCACATTGGCAGGCGCTTACCGGTGCCGCAGAACGGGTCAACATTTCCTACACGATCGCGGGTTGGTTGTGAATGGATTAGCATGGATGTCCTATCGGCTGTACCGCCGTCGCACACTGAACCACGCGGACCTGTCGGATGGGGTGTTATGCAGCAGACAGTTACGCAGCCAGTGTAGCTGTATATGGACACGGTTGGCGGTTGAAATGCACCTCGTGATCCCACTTTCCACAGTCACCAGGATAGGAAATGGCATAATGCTACATTTCTTGGGCACTGAATAGAGGCGGACTAATGTGGGCACGTACCAGATGAGCGGTCCTTCGATATACCACGGCCATAACCACAACTATGCCGCCCCTTGGTTCTCGCCTTACCACGTAAACGCTGACCGACACCCGTCGCCCAGAAGCGCGCCGCGTCTTCATCTGCAGAGGCACATGCATGCTTGGTTGATTCTTGAGATGCGACCCGCGGTCTTTCGTGCTCGGAAGCCTGCACTCGCGTACCGGATATGTTGGCGATGTTGCATAGACGCTGCACCTCGGCTTCCGTGGGCAATGCGTACGATGGTCGACCCCGCCGACCAAAACTACACGTGCTCAACTGAAGACATTCCCGGTGGATGTGCAGCAGCTCTTGAGCCTGCTGCTGGCTGACGTCCTTCCGGAGCTGCTGCAACACGGCTAACGCAGGCACGGCCGTATGCGCAGCAAAAAGCTGTTCCATGCCATCAGCGACGTCCATGTCACCGACACGGCTCTGAACGACTTTTCTGTTTTATGTTTAATTAAGTTTGTGTATGTTATATTTTTCCGTGCAAGTTTGTAATTTGACTTCACCCGAACAAGGTGCTGTATGCGTTGCGCTACTGAAACCGCGCCCGTTTGCTTGCACAAAGTGCCGCTTCGCCAGACGCTTCCTCTTCCCGCGGCCGTTTCATGCGCCCAGTCTTGCAAGGTACGTTGTTTGCTTTCTGTGCTTTCAGTTACGGCAAAGGAGGCACCCCATTGTCCGGGCTGCATGCCGCGTGCGACTGTGGCCAACATGCCCTCCTGCGCACCGCGCTGACACACCGCGGCCTTTCTTCGCCAAAAAAAGACATACACTTGTACACGCGCATTTTGCGAATCGCACGCGCGCACCCGCGCGATAAAATTCGCTCCTGGCTTTGGGCCGTCTTGTACGGTCCGTTTATTCGGCACAGTACGACCGGACACAATTGTGCGAGAGGCTGCTTAACAAGTTACACGTTCTGCACAAATGCGGAGGACCCCCACGCATACATCTATTCCCCTTCGGGATGGACATGTGTCTGCCATATGGGGCATGCACTATGCATTCCGTGTGGTAAATCACGCTGCCATCTGCCGCTCAAGGGTGTTGCGCCCACCCTAGTAGTTATACACCAGGGTTCTTCACCAGGGTACCCAAAAATTTCGGCCGTGTCCGAAACCCTCTGAATAATCTTTCGGGGCCCTCCCCGAAAATTTTCCTGTCAGCCGGAGAGTGCTTTCGGGTACCCCGAAACTGTCTGAAGCGGTTTTCGGGGTAAATTTTAGCTGGATTCTATCGTTATATGCTAGGACGGCTGAGTTAACAGGTGTTTGACTTTATTTTGGAACAAAGGAGAAATATTTCAGCAAAGATTTTACCCAAAGCCAAGGAGGCGCCGCTCCTCATCCACCTCTGCGGCAATCGCCTCCACCACACCTGCCACATCATCATCCGTCATGGGTAGTCTTACAGGTATGGGGTCACGCACCCCCAACCATGTAACACACACACACACATCATCATCATCATCCGTCTCCTCAGACGGGTATACCTCATCACTTGCCACACTCTCGACCTCCTCGTTATCAGAAGGATAATAGGCCTCAGCAATTTCACTGCCCACACTGCCCTCATCATCACTCTCATCAGTCAGAACACAATCGCCCACCTTGGCAATACGGTGCAGGAGCCCATCCGGGTTCTTTGCAACATACTCCTCAGCAGCTTTAAATCACAAGGGGTTGGCATTTCATATCCACGGTTGGACCGAGTAATCCAACACGCAGAAGGAATCAATGGACGGGACAGCCAGCTGGTTATGCAGCCTGTTCTTGGTAATGCGGTGGACACTAAATCAGCCAACTGGGGAGGGGGATGGAGGGAGAAGGATTGTATGAATGTATGTAAGAGGGGATTTAACAGTTTGCCAAGGGCGGGCCGGGGGAAGTTGATAGAAGGGGGCAGGGCGCGGGGGCGAGCTGGAAGTGCAGGATTGGTGTGTTGGGGGCAGGTGGGGCATGAGGTGGCGGTAGTAATGGCAGAATAAAAAATCCCCATAAAAAGCAATTTACACAGAGAAAAAGAAGGCTTCAGTATGCACAGATAATGATCTGGTAAGAGGCAGTAGTAATTGGCTCACCATCATCCGGTCCAAATCTTCCCCGGGGTGGGGTTTTCTGAGAGCCATGGACAGTTGTCCATTTCCCGGGCGCATCCTTCTACCAGTGTACCTTACGATACCATCCTCCGCAAGCACCACCCTCACTCTGCCCACGCGGCCCACAGGAAAGCCAGTGGCATCGCAGATCTGGCGGCGAGTGGCACCCCCGTTGCCGGCGCCACGAGGCGCAACATCTCGGGGAACACTGGGTTCGCCGCCGCCGCCGATGACGACGGGGGGATTGACGACGCGGACCTGGCGGCTGCGGCTGCGGCCGCGGCTGCGGCTGCCGCGGCCGCAGCTGGCGGCACCGGCGAAGGGAAGGTGCCGGCTGGGATTGTAGGAATGCATGACATGAGTGGAGCAATAAGGGCTACGGCTCGGCACACGGAAGCCGAAGTTCAGTATTTCGAACCCATCCCCGGTGTACACGTGTGTTTGTGTGGGGGGCCGGGGGGAAGGAGGGGTTGGTGGTGGTTGGCTCCCAATCCAAACCTGCAGCAAAACACATGTCATGACCGACGTTTTGCCTCACGTCGTCGACACGCGCACCATCTCCCGCTTCTCCGTCGCGCGTAATTTGGTGTTATCCTAACCTTTCCCTCGCCCTTTGATTGTGTGGCTGTGGCTGTGGTTGTGTCTGTGGCCGTCTCCTAAACGGACGAACGAACGCACTTGGGGTGGTGGTCAGGTGTGGAGTTTCTTCACCGCGAGGGCATGTTGGGCGCCTTTCCGGAGGACGTGGCCAGCTTCCTCACTCGCGCCGAAGGACTGGACAAGACCACCATCGGGGACTACCTGGGGGAGAGGGACGAGTACTGCCTCAAGGTGAGACGGCGGGGCACAGCGGGATGGGAGAAGGAAACAGACAACGGCTCCAGGGAGGCAGCACGGGTCGGGAGGTGGTTCCACGGAGAGAAACGTTATTAGATGGACCAGGGCTCGGGACGACGCGAGAGTGTATAGGGCTGAGCTGAATGTGTTGCCTGTATTGTCTGGAAGAGTGCGGGTAGGGGGCGGTCTGCGAGTGGGAGCGCAGGTGGTGGCTTAGGGTATAAGAAATCAGAGGGTCTGCGGAAGATGTGATGTGATGTGGGTTGTGGCTGGGAAGCATGTGTGAATCACCCGAAATGAGGGTCGTGTGTGGGAGGTGCTGCGGAGACCTCGTTCTGGGGATGTGGTTAAACGTGTGTGAAATTTGCGGAATGAGTGGAATTGAGGCATTCGGACACACATAAAGCTGCGCGTCCATTGCACCCATGTCGGTGGACTTGCGGTGAGAGGAGCCGTTGGTAAACCGTTGGAGGCCCGATGGCCAAGTACAAGTACAACCTTCCACGCAACAACGCGATATCCCCGGCCCAGCAGGGAAATATTGCATCCTTCAGATGATTTGCGTTTCAGCAGTAGCAGCAGCAGGCGGAGTGGACTCCCAACCTACCATGGCACAACCAGTGCTTAGTGCACAGTCCCGCCCTCCACCTCTCTCATAAGCACTTGCCGCGACCACGTCCCACGCCTCCACCGCCTGCAGGCCGGACCCCTGTGGCGCCTCCTCCATGACCTCGTGCTTGTCGTACTGGCGGACTGCCCCTCCGGCCCAGCCTGCCAGGCGGCTCTTTCCCGCCAATGGAACCAGTTGTCCCTAGAGCTCCCGGAAGATGCAGAATTTCCGTACGAAGGTATTATGTGCGGTACGGCAGCAGTACAATCCGTACGGCAGCAGTCCGCAAAGCTTACTACCCGCCAGGCCCCCATTTTGATGCGAGGCATTCATTGCAGCTGCCATCAGCAGCAGCAATCGCCAGCTTATGTAGGTCATACACACACACACACACCGACAACCAACAACTGAAAGCTTGCAAAATCCCTCTTTATATGGCTTCCCACATTGCCGGCATCCCTCTTAGATATCCACAACACACCGGCAGTGTCCCGTGCCCTCTGTTCCGGCAAAACACGTTTTGCAGCTGCATAGCTGTGACCATCTGCACAGTGTAAGCCCTCCGGGGCACCTTGCCCTTGAACCCTATATACCGCTTTTCTATGCTGTTGAGCTGTCGTTCCATTTTTATCCCATGGGCGGTCAAATGTGGACGGCCCCTCCTGTCCGCTTTGCCTCGACGCCCCTGAGTGCCCCCGATATGCCTCTTGGCCTCCCAGGCCTCCGAGACTAATTAAGAAAACTAGCCACAGCTAGGAGGCCTTCCGCCATATCAGTACACAATCTAAACCAAAAGCTCAAAACGCCGGGACCCATATTTCTTCAGGTTTCATTACCGTACGGATGAAGAGGTACCTGCATGCAGGAAAAGGTGTCACTTGCTTCCATGGGGAGGAGGTGAGCCTGGTTACCGAAAATTTAATTTAAGGTTCCAGGCGCACATCAGGTGCACCCAAAACAATGCAATGAAGAATTCTTGCGCACTTTTCCCCAGCGATTCAAACAACGACCCTCACGATGGTTTCATGGCGTGCCCGGGCCTGGTGTGTGCCAGCAGAAGCGGCATCTGACTGAGCGGGATCAGTGCTACAAGTGCAAGGGTTATGGCCATGTTGTGAACACCCGCACGGCCCCACAGCGGGATTGAGTGGGAGCCACATGGGGGGGTGCAGAGCGGGGTTCTTTGAGGGCCTGATTCCCGAGATGGTCAGATAGAGCATTGTATGTCACGTGAACCGCTTTGAACCGTTTTGGCACCACCCATTGTGTTGGGTTGTGTGATCCCGTGCGCCACCTAGTCATCGTGTTGTGCCCGAGAGTGGCACAGGGCCCACCGTGAGGCAGGTCGTGGAGACTGTCATTCTTGCTTGTTGCGGCTGGTATGCGTGACACCCGGGACTTGCATACTTGGGACCAAGGAATTGGATGACGGCGCAACAAACGGTCCTGAACACGCGTCGAAACCCGGCTGTGGGATTGGCAGAATTGTTTGGTTGCAAACGACTTTCCCGACTTCCCCCATCGCCTCCTCCGCCTCGACCCGCTTGCTAGCAGCCAATAACAGCTGACGGTTCCACTGCGGTATCACAGCAGTCTGGGAGGTCCAAGGACTCAATCCCAGCCCACTAGCATCGCCCTACGCAAGCGCTGGATTGGGTCCAAGCAGAGCTTCTAACCCTCAGCAATGGCGTCGTTCGTGGTCTTTCCCAGCTGATCGGGTGGGGCGCCGCCCCGCCGCGCCCCCTGCTCCTCAACAAGTTCGCGGTTCACCTTCTGGAAGGCGTGGTAGACCCGGTTGAGTTCCCGATTCTCGCGCTTGAGGATCTTCTGCTCCTTGCCGGCCCTCTTGCTCCAACCGTCGCACACAAAGTCCAAATCCTTGAAAGGGCGCTCGATGATGCGGACTTCTCGGGGACCAGGAGCTCTGGGCGGGTGGTTCCAAATGCTGATTTTGAATGGGCGAGGGATGCTTCGGAAGCCGCCAGTTGCAGCTTCGCCGACAAGTAAATATCATATGCCTGGCTAATGGCTCCGGTAAGTTTTGTCTTGTCAGTCCGAGTTAGAGAGCATGGTCAAAGCTCTTTTGACTGTCCGCCTCCTGAACAGCTGTGTGGTCAACGCTTCTATGTCGGCTAACAGGCTCGCGCGACTGGTCACCTAGTTTGCGTTTATTGACGGTCATCATACAAGTGCCGCTTTATATAGCGATATCCACAATTTCTAGTCCAAACAAGACAGCCATGGTTACCGAATGCGACTCTGCTTCTGGACGCTGTAGGCTAGGCAGAAGCCGGAGCGGAAACTTTTTTTAACTTTCGGTACTGCCAATAAGAACTCGCGAAAATTATCGTTTTCGCACTCCTGCGACTCACACTAGCTCTGCACGGTCAAGCCGTACACACCAACGACCTTCAACCGAGTTCGCTCTCGGCAAAGACACAGAAGCCCTCCTTGGTTTTCTCTCCTTTCACTCAGAAACTTACAGTTTAGAAGAACGCGAGTTGCGCATGGCAGCGCCTACATTGCTTCGCATGGCAACGCGATGTTACGAGCTCACGGACGTTCTCCATGTGGGTTGATCCCAAGAGGAGGTTTTCGTGTGTTCCTGATGTCAGGCGGGGCCCCCACGAGCCCCCATGACCCCCATGTCCGGCAGCAGGCAGGGACACTGAGCTAAGGCAACACGTTATCCACTCGTGAACTAAGTTAAGTTGAGATGAGTTGTTTACTTCAGGCTTGTACGGTCCGGTTGTGTTTGATTTGATATAAGGATGAGATGTAAGGATAAAATGGGGTATTAAGGGGATACGGCACCTAGCGGTCAGCGGTCGTGTCGAGGTTCAGGCCGACCGTGTAATCAACCGTGTGACAAAACACAACACGTTGTCAGTTGTCCTAACATCCTAAAACCCCCCTCACCCAACACGCGTCTCCCCTGCCGTACCACGAACCACCACCACTTCCCTCCCGTTTCCCCTTCCTCTGAAATCACAAACAGGGGAAAGAAGAATATCGTTGGGAACTACTTCATTAATTAGTAGTTAGTAGTTCGTCCAAACCAATGTAACAAATCAAACCAACGCAAAGCGGGGACAACAGGACATAGGGCCAGCACGATAACATCACTGTCATCGTGGCGTCGACAGAGAGTCGCAAAATAACATCAACAGCACAAAACTGCCGTACGTCTCGTCCGTACCACACACACACGGACACCAGTGCATACTCAGTTCCCTGCTCGTACTCCCCGTACACCCCGAAACCAGTCAACACCGCCATTAGGCGTTGCGGTGGTGGCCGCATATACTCGCTGTAGTCTATTTCCCTCTCGCAATCCCCCCAGTATTCTTCACTACACGTCCGAGCAGTGGAAGTGGCAAGATCAGGACAACGATGCCATGCGGTTAAAACAGTTAAAACGGTTAAATGGACAGTTACTGGCAGTCTAGAGCCCTAAAAGGAGCTCTGGCGCTCTCCCTCTGGGTGCCGACGGAGGCCGTTACGAGAGAGACAGAGAAGAAACTGACGGCGGCGCCGAAGCAGCCACTGGCGGCGCGACGACGTGTACATCCTGTCGTACCTGGTCACGGGGTACATTTTCAATTGCCGTTCGGCCCTCCACATCAAGTGACCTCCCCCCTCGCTCCCGACCCAGCCGCCGCGGCCCGCAGTGTACGGCACTCGGGCGCGTGTCGGGGCCAATCTCGCCGCTGACATTCCTCACTACAGTACGACACCTTCAAGCAGCCGCCGCAGCGGCGCAGCTTGACGGGGCCACCGACGCCATTGACGCCGACGCCACCGCAGCCTGTCGATCCCAAACACCTCCCATCCTCGCCGCCAACAGCAGGAGCGTCAGCGGATGTACATGGAGAGCCGTCAGCAGCAGCAGCAGCAGTAGCATGTGATGGTGGTGGTTGTGGTGGTTGTACCGCTACAGCCGACGGCTCAACATCGGAGGTCACCGTCCCGGAGGCACCCCGCGTCGACGTCGAAGGTGACCAGCCGCATGTCGTACACATTCGTACGTACACAGGTCTATGAGGGAGACGAACCGGCCTGGGACTGGAATCCCCTCCTACCCTTCCTCCACCCTCTCCTCCCCTTATCCCGCCTGCTGCTACTGCCGTGACTCCACAACAACCGCCATCTTCACCTTCAACGATCGACTCCATCCCTAACCCCATCTCCGTCTTCCCTACCGGCTGCTCCGGAGCCGTACAGGCCGCCGTACGTCCAAACCCAACGCCTCGACATTTCCCCTCCCCCACCGGATCCGCTGTCGCCGCAACAACCCGGGTCCCGCTTTCATCGTCTGTGCTACTGCCACTGTCGCCACCTCCGTCGCTAACGGAAATCCTGCTGCCGTTACTCCTGCTACAGCCTCCACTTGTCGTGTCTCCGTCGTCCGTGCCGCTGCTGTCGTCGCTGCTGCTACTGCTACTGCTGTCGTCGACGCCGCCGAGTGCCGTACGAGCCGCCAGGCCTCGCTGTCGCCGTTGTGCTCTTGCCACACTCGCGACCAGCATTTGCCGCAAGCTGCGGCTGCCCTTGATTACTCCGGGGCTGTGAAGGTGCGGAGGGTGTGGGGGGACTCGCCGCCCGCCACCGCCACCGCCGGCAGCGGCTCCGGTACCTGCCGCCGTTGCTGCCGCTGCCGCTGCCGCTGCCGCTGCCGCTACCTCCCCCTTGGTGGCTCTGAAGCGGTTGGTCACAAAAGTCCGTGTCAGTGGGGAAGGGGGGGAGGGCCACAATATCGCATGAAGGGTACAATACAAGGAGCATCGTGAACTGCTCGTACTCAAGACCTAATCCGTAGTCGTTCTACTTCCTGGCAGTACCAGTCGCAGTAGCAGTCGCAGGCCTTACCTTCGCCCCGGCCGGGCTGGCTGACCCTCCAGCCGTACTCTGTACGACGTCCAGTCCACCCCTGGAGAACAAAATCCCTCCTGCAGCACCACAAATTAAACACACACAACAACATAATTAACAAAGTGGACCACAAGACGGGGGGGGGTGTTCGTATGCGGCTGCTGTTGCTGCTGCTGTTGCTGCTGCTGCTGCTGCTGATGATGATGATGATGACGACGCAAGTAACCCACGCGCAACTGCATACAGCATACACTTCCATACCGTACAGTGCCCAAAGCCGCAGCCCGCCGAGGGACTCCCAAGCGGGGGCGAAAGAGCGGGAGAGGGGGCGTTACAAAGAAGTAGAAGAAAACAACCCAATGCAACACGAATATCCCCAAACACGCAGTAAAAAGAAGAGGAAATGGGGGTGCAGTAGCTAGGTTCAAGTGACAAGAAATGAACCACCTCAGGGAGCTCAGTACCAGCAGTGTTTTACAATCCACAAGGACTACACTCCTCAGTAACAACCACACACACATGCGGACAGAGTAACGGAACGACACGACATCCTCTCATTTATAAAAGCCAATCCCCGGCTGTACGGCGCCCACCTGTAATTGACGTGCGGTCACTTGTACGGCATGGAAGTGTCGTGATGCCGTACGACGGTTGACCTGGGCGAGGAGGGAAGAAGTCAGGCGGCGAAGGTGGGGGTGAGGGAGTTCGTGGGAGGGAGTCAGCGTTTTGACATCGTACAGGCGTACACACACATACATACACATGCGTCTCCCTCCAATCCCCCCGCTCCCGGCGGCCACTGGCGGGTTCGTTTCCCGTTTTATTAAAACCCCCTAAACCCCAAAACCATCCTGCCTCTAGTAGCCCCTCCGCCCACTCCCCAGCCATCAACCGAAGTTTTAAAATACCTTGCTATTCTCCATCTACTCACATACGTACATACAAACGTACCGCGTCTCCATCCAGTTGGTGGTACTCCAGCTCCACCACCCCCACCGCCCCCCGGCTGTTGTGGGGCCCCAGCACCGACCCACGGGACACCAGTACGCGAGCACCCTCAAGAGCGGCGGATAAGCTACTGCAGCCACAGCCGGAGGCGGTGGCGGCGCCGCCGCTGGCACCATTGTTGGTGCCGTACGTCGCGTGCGCGCTTCCGCCTCCGCCGCTGCTGTACAACAGTTCATGGTATGCCGCCAGTGCTTTTCGTTTGACCAGCGAGACTGCGAAACCCCGAGTATTCTACGCGTATGTGCCGCGGTGGGGGGGTTTGGGACGGGAGGAAATATGTTTGAGTTTTTTGGCGGGGCGGGGTGTACGGCATATGAATGCCCTGTAGGAGTGTTGTGGTGGATGGTGGTAGGTGTGGGGAGAAGGCGACTCGCCCCAAACACACCTGAATGGTACAGCCAGGACCAATTATGACAGTGGCTGGAGGCTGTACGGCACCCAAGTACGGCTGCAGTAACTCCAATTGAGCCGCCGACGCGGCAGCAGCACTGGGAGAAGCGGGTGGTGGTGGCGGCGGCGGCGGTGTCGTACTTCCCCCTTCCGGCGGCGGCGCAGCCAGCAGTTCGGCATGGGCCTTATGTGTAGTTTACCCGGACAGAGGATACGGCACGAGGGAATGGAGGGGGGCGGTCGCGGGGGCCGGTGGGGAGGGGGGGTTTTGGTTGGGTACGAGTATGGGTTTGGGTAGGGGAGGGGGGAGGGGGAAAGAGGGGGGAGGGGGGAGGATGCGGCCTTTGGAAATCCGTTGTTGGTGGTGTGGATGTAATGGTGGGGGGCCCTCCTGAGCAAGACGTGAACGGCATGGCACATACAAACATACACACCTACACACACATATACACACATACACACACATACACACACATACACACACATACACACACATACACACACATGCACACACATGCACACACATACACACACATATACACATATACACACATATACACACATACACACACGCATAAGTGGGTCGATTTCAACATTCATTCACATCACCCACATCGCTCACACACACCAGCCACTAAAAGAGAGCGATATGGATCTCCCCCTGCCCAAACACACACACATACACACATACATACGCACACATCTCCCTCCCCCGGTATTGGCCCCATCCCCACCGACACCATCACCGGTATCCCTCCTCCTAAACGCCTCCTCGCCTCCCGCGAGCACATTATACATACGAACGGAGTATCATGTACGACGCACATACACACAGGCGGCTGGCAGAGATGAAGGCCTGACTTCTGTTCCCGGCCGACCCGGGTTCAAATCCACCTGCCGACCTCTCGGGTGATTGAGGAGTGTTGAAATGGGAGGTGGCCCCCCATCTTGTGGACGGTGTAGGACGTGATAACATCAACTTGCGAGCTGACCAGGAACTAAGTTGAGGCGCCGTTGATCCGCTAGATTTGGTTGGATGCTGGTGGTGAGTTGCTGAACCCAACGAATACATTCTGAAGTCGGATGGGGTGAACGGATTAGGGTGCCCCTCTCGCAAGGGAGAGCAGGGAACTGCCTCGGAAAAGGGGGCCGCTGGTGAAGCTATACCACCCTGTAACAACATACACACAGCCCCCCCCCCGCACCCTCACCTCCCTCCCCCCTCCCCCGCACCTGTAGAAGTGCTCGAGGACTGGGCGGTGCTAGCCGGGGGTAGTCCGCCAGAGGCACCATCACCTCCACCCCACCTAGGTCCTGTAAGCGAGGGAAGGGAGAGGGGGGGAAAGACGAACCACGAACGAGTGCAGCTGCTGCCAGGGCAAAAGTGTACCAGACGTAGAACTGACCAAAAGGCGTTCTTGAAGTGCGGCGACCTCGGGATGACGTAGTGAAGACGATGTCAGAAAACTACCTACCTAGCCGCCAAGACTAAAATAAGCGCAGAAGAAAAGCAATAATGCCAGGTGTAGAGGCGTCGGAAAAGTAGTAGAAAAACTGCTGACGTGAAGCTGGAATAAAGTTTGCCGCCGGCCTGGCGGCGGCATTGACGAGGTTTAGCCAAGAACTGGCTGATAAGCTGGTAATAAGAAGCTGGTGATATGCAAGTGCTCCTCCCAACCCCCCAAAAATCGCGCGACCGACCCGACTATCCTAGTCCGGCTAGCCGACCGACGCAACGCGATATACCGACAAAGCTCAAACCTCCCTTTTGGACTCACCTGGCCAGGCAGCAGAAGCAGCGGGCAAAGGCACATGCGAGGCAGAGGGGTGACAAGGTAGTGAGCAGCGAACGATAAAGACAAGACCGCATGCGAATGCCGCTGAAAGGGAGTACTAAGCTGGCTGACCGGGGAAGCTGGGAACAAGAAGCCCTAGAGAACCTCTGTGAAAGCGGAAGAAAACGCAGGGATTAAAAAGATGTATAAATGCAAAGACGGCGCAGGACGACACAGAAGGTGTCGTACGAGATGACGGAATTGACAACGGGATGGCGCATTGGACGGCGTGTACGCCGGCAGGAACGCAAAGAAGGTAGAAATGGAGAACTGGGGTGGAAAGAACGCAAAAGAAAGGCCAAAGGGAGGAGATGGAGTTGGTAGGAAGAGAAGCGCATGTGGGGGGAGGGGAGGGGAGAGGAGGGAGGGAGGGGGAGGGGGAGGGGAAGGGGGACGGGGAGGAAGGGAATAAAGTTAGATTCAGATTCCACCACACCCAGCGCGGCATCGCCCTTCCGCACTCCCGCCCCCGCTTCACTATTGGCGTGAGCTCTGCCCAAAGCTTGCCGTACCTTTAAAGCTGCACACGTCACCCCCACTGTAAGACTTCCCGCTTCTCCCCCGCTCCTTTTCCTCCCCCCTCTCCCCCCCTCTAACCCGACCCCAAAAGCCCAGTACGACGTTGGAGAAACCGGACTCAAAACCTCTCTTGTTTCATCATCAGGTCGTTAAAAAACCGTGCGGTTTTCTCCTAACTAACAACCGCCCGCAACGAAACCCACACAACCACTCACTCACCTTGGGCACCACATCGTCTCCCGCCCCACACCTCGTCACCTCACACCCACCCAGCAGCTCCACCACACCCCCGGCCGCCACCTGCACGCCAGCCGTAGCACCGCCCACCACTCGTACATTACGACAAATTAGGTGGCCGCCGTTGTCTACCTGGAGGTTGTGGTTAGCGGTTGGCAGTCAACGTGGTGGTGCTTGATACGAACGGTTGGGTCTTTGAATTTGAAAACTAAAATTCAAGACAGGAAAAAGAACATGTGACCGCGTGATGCATGTGTGTGTGTGTGTGTGTGTGTGCCCCTGCACCCGTGTTTTGGATGGGGTATTGGGGGGAGTTGGGGGTTAACGTGTACGAATAACCGCTCAAACCGTCACCGTACAACTACAGCAATGAAGGGAAAAATTGGAAGGTAAGGGGGAAAAGGGGAGGTGTGATGGGTTATGACGGAAGTCATGAGTCCTACTTTGCATCGCACATACATACGAACATACACACCTGCAGGCCCCCCATGGTAAACTGTACGACCACGTCCACCAACGTCGTACGGCCGCGGAGCACCTGTGATACGACAAAACAAAAATGTTTATGTAGTCGGGGGGTTGTGGAGTGGGTGTCGGGGTAAGCGCGGGGGAAAGCAGTCCCCTACCTTCGTCACCTGCTACGCCTGCGTCCCTTGGGTCTGGAAACCCGAATTGTGTATTTTGTCGTACATGACCGTTTCCCGCCTACCCCCGCCTATGTCCATGTTTTCCACTACACCCCGAATCCGACCGGGGGGTAAATACACACACACGCCTGTGTCTGTGTGTGTGCTGAGCACTTGCCACCAATCTTGTCTTGGGCTCGTACACCCCTAGGGGTGTACGACAGCCTCTCCCTACCTCCACGTCTACCTCCAGCTCCACATACATGACATACATCCCCCTCCCCCCCTCACACACACACATACACCCCAATTCCACCTCACCGGGCCCAGTCGTACAAATCTGTCGTGTAAAAACACACGCCCGTACACACGCACACACTCACCCGCAAGGCTCCCTCGTAACCCCCCAGCTGCAGCAAAGTCAGGTTCTCAAACACAACACCACCAGCAGATTCGAGGGCGCTGCTTCCAGCGGCTGTAGCAGCTGTAGCTGTAGCTGTAGCGGTGGCAGCGGCAGCGCTGCCGCCACCCGCCCCACCCAGCGGCGGCGGCGGCGGCGGCGGCGGCCCGGCGGCGCACTCCACAAAGACGTCATCCTCCTCGTTATTGTGGATTACGACGTCACTAGGCTGCAGTACAGTATGTACGGCGAAAGGTACCGCACGTGCTCACGACATAATATCAGGACAAAAACCGGAAACAAGAACGTGAAAAGCTTTAGCATCCTAACCAAAGCTCACAAATACCTAAACTACTAATTGACTTCAGACTCGTGACGCGGCACCCGCTGCGCTGCGAGCTCCGCTTGTGTGGCTCAATACTCCAGCAACCACGATCACTCCATCCCTGTCCCATCGTCAACTAAATTCCACTGGTCACGTCGTACTCCTCTCGTTGGTACGACAAAACCTGCCGTACTCTCCCAACCAGCCAGCCTTCCGGTCCATTGGGAACACCACCCGCATCCCTCCTCAACCTAAAAAAAAC